GTGTATACAGGGAAGCAGGGCTGGGGGTGAAGGTGGTACAGTTTCTTTGGGGCCCACTCAACGGATGCAGCCATGAATGGGAGCAAAGGTGTTGCGGGCAGGGTGGAGAGGAAGCAGAGATGCTCCACCTGGATCTGCGCCAGGACTCAAGGACCGTTCCCCAGCTGGTGGGAGCACCCTCAGCAATCGGCCCTTTGGGGGTGGCTTCTACTGCAGAGAGCGGGCTGGTCCAGGACTGACTGATGGAGGGGTATGAAACCTGGCCTTCTGGCCCCAAATCATGGACAACTCTGGAAGGTCACCTTCAGAATTCCCCTCGGCGTTGGCCGAAATTTCTGTTGCGACAATATGGCGGCTCAGGCTTTCCCTCGATCAGGTGGACCGCTCCCCCTCCCCCCTCTCCCCTTCCCAAGACCCCTCCCCGATCAATCTCTGCTCCCTGTCTCAGGGTGGGCTTCCTGGGGGCACCTGGCTGGCAACAGCGGGCAGAGGTGGGAGAAATTCCAAGCAAATCAAACGAGAGACCACAGCCCAGGAAGTCAACTCCACTTTTTAATATTTAACCATAATGCAAACAGGCATAAGTAGACTTTTGTTGAATTCCATCAAGTTAGAAGATGAGGACAATGCAGAAGGAGAGCATGCGGTGAACACAGCTTGGACAACCTCGCGAGGAGCGTGGGGCGGGCGTCGGTCCTTGGAGGAAGGTGCTGGAGCGCACGGGACACTGGGCGGACATTAGCAGCATCGAGAACTCAGAGGTAGGGGGACATCCGAGTTTCTGACAGTGTGTGTGTGTATGTGTGGTGACATGTGACACCCACTCTGCCCGCCTCCCCAGCTCCTCAGCCCCGAATGGAAACCCACTGGTACAGCAAGGAGGGGACGGCCAACTGCATTCTCTCTCTCTCTCTGTCTCTCTCTCTCTCTCTGCCTTCCAGGAAACCACTGCTGAGCCTGGAGTGGGTCCTGTGATCACAAGACAGCACAACACAAGGAAGAGAGGGCGGAGTCAGGGTGCACGGCATCGGGCCTCAGTGGGTAGTAATCAGAGTGATGCCAAGGGCACAGCATCTTATCAAAATGGAACTGTCATCCTTTCTGTCTTGGGAGGGAATTTGTGAAACCACTTTATCATCATCCCCCGCCCCAAATCCTTTGAGTCTCAGATAATGGAAACAAAGCCATTGGCTGGGTACTGCTCTGCTGACTCCAGAAGGTCCATGACTGAAGGGCCTGGGGCAGCCAGGAGAGACTCTTTTGCCCTCAGGGGACATCTGGCAATGTCCAATGTCACATATGGTGGGGGTGGGGTGGGGAGGGACGGCTACTGCTTCTGGTGGGCAGAGGCGAGGGATGCCGCTCAACATCCTGCCTACGATGTCCGGGACAGCCTCCACCATGGAGAATTCTCCAGCTCCAAATGCCAGTAGTGCTGAGTTGGCTGACCCTGGACCAGAGTCAAGTCCAGGCACTTGGATGTCCTGGAGTCATTTTCTAGAAGACCATGGAAAGCTACAGCTTAAGGGAGGTTTGCTCCTGCCTGCCAGGGCCACCTTGTTAAGAACGGTCTCTGTCCTTGACCAGACCGACACAACTTGCTTGTTCAGAACTGTTCAGGTCTTCCAGGACAAAACAAAATCATAAACAAACTAAGGCGTATTTACCCCAGACCTCCTCCCTTGCACGACTGCACGTGGCTCTGACAAGTAGTAATAGAGAATAGACTCAAGACCCATGTTCCAGGGGTGAGAGTTTACCTAGGTCCTCATGCAGGTCTGAGACTCATCAGTGTTTGGCGAGAGGCAGCTTTTGCCACCAGGTCGGGACCGGTGGTGGATCGAGGACAAGGTGCATATGATAGAAAGAGGAGAGACCAGGCTGGTGTCAGCCCCAAAAGGTCAGATTCAGGTTCATGGCGACCATCTGTGTTGAGTTCGGGGGGTGGGGGGCAGTGACTCTCAGATCCGTCTTCCTCCATCCCAGGCCCTGGCTTTTAATTCCTGTGCCAAACAGGACATTTAGATGCAGGAAACTTGACAAGGGTTGGGAAACGTCAAGGAGTATGGACAAGTCATATAGGATGCCCGGATGAATATTTTTTCCTCCTTGTCACCTGCAGGCAGTCTCAGATTAACTTGCCAATTCAGACAGAAGGTTTTGGGGGCAGAAGGTGGGCATGGTGACATGCTGGAGGTCAGGGCAGTGGAGATGCAAATATACAAGTTAACGGTTGGCTTCACACAAAATCTTAACCCCATAGTTTTCCCGATGGCATGAATGGCCAGCGCTTGAAGGGTGAACGGGCCCAGACATCTGGCTTGCGCATCCTGGCAGAGGGATTGTTGGTTTGCCTGCGATCTGGGTCAGAAAAATCTCACTTGCTTTGTACTTAGGGCAAAACCTGACCTCCTTTTGGAAGTCCAAAGCAGGTGGCTGCTGAGAATGTGCTTGGCAAGAAAATCCTATGTTCTAAGGCCAATGTCTAATTGGCCTGGGGTCGGTTTTCTTTCCGTGCATCTAGGCCTGGCTGGACCTTGGAAGGATGCACCCTGCTGGCTGGGGGAGAAGCTGGCTATCATGTCAGCAACTGCAAACTCATCTTTCCCTCGAGGCTATTTTTTTCTCATGAGACTCCTTTCTCAGCCTAAACGTTAAGACTCAACTTTCTCATCTGTTCTCCTTCTACCCCACAGATAGGTCTCCAGGTCCTACTGATTCAACCCCTGGAGTGGCTTTATCATTACACCTGCCTCTTCCCTCATTCCAGCCTTGGTTACTGCAACATTCTACCGCTGGTTCAACAGACCAGCTGTCCATACTCTGTGTTACAGCCAGAACATTCTTTTCCAAGCACGACTCCAATGACCTTATTTTTCCCACGTGAAAAACGTTCCTAGGGATACCCTACTGCCTGCCAAATAATCTAAATTCCTTGACATGCACTCACCTGTCCCAAAGAGCTGGTCCCTGCTCACCTTCCCAGCATCTGGCTCATCACCTTCAAGCCTTCCAAAGCTGTGCCTGAAGCCAGCCCCCATTTACTGCAACATGCTCCCGTCTGTGCCTTTCCTTCCTCTCTTCCTACTTCCTGGAAATCCTATCGCCCCAGACCTGCAGGTGGAATCCCCCCATTTCTCAAACCCCAGACATTTATGTCGATTCTAATTGTGTGTCTACATACGAGCTTCTCACTGTCTACAAACAGAAACTGTTCTTTGCTTTGTACTCTCCACTGTGCCTTCCGCATACAGGTATTGGTGAAGTGGAAAAGTAAAATTTGAAAGCTTCAATGGGCCAGGTAGTATAACTGGCTATTTTATGGGCATTATCTCATTTAGCCCCCTTTGCTATATAAGTGGATATGTAGACTCGGAAAGGTTAAATCACCAGCCCAGGGCTGTCTGCGGAAACAGGGGAAGGGGGAAAGCTCAGAGTTAGCATTTGGACTCCGGGCTGCTTCCACGAGCTCCATTTTGGTGGGTCTAAAGAATTTCCCTGAACGGAAGGATACCTGGCTGTCTCACTCCGTAGAAACCAAGCGGGAAAATACTCCTCTGCTCAGGGAGTTAAATTACCTCTGCTTCTTTCCTAACACAAGGTGCTGGCTTTGGATTCATAGTGATGAATTGGGGGGGGCATGACCATGTCAGCTTCTCCTGCAGAGGGGGATGTCTCCTTCCTCCTGGCCAAACTCACTTTTGTTAAATGGGGCTGGAGCCACTGCAGGCCAGTTCAAGGGGGAGAGGAACAGAAAAGTCTGTAATCTAGGTAACCCCCAAATGCCCAATCAATCCTATTTTTCTGCTCACTTACTGTGAAACCAAATTTTGCGCCTAGATTTGGCTACTGGGACTGAAATAAAAGCACCACAAGAGGGCAGCATTTACCCACCCTGGATCAGAGCTAAACCCTAAACCAGGACTCCACACTCTGCCTCTTGACAGGCTCCTTACAGGGAGGCTTTTCATAACAGGGGTTCTGGCAAATGAGAGAAATACATCGGACCAGTCTCCCGTCTTCTAGCGGGGAGTCCTGAAGCAGCTTGCGTTGGGTGTTGAAAGGTGTTTCCTTTAAAAACAAAAATTCTTCTTGGGAAGAAAGATGCATCCCGATTCTATAATCACTGCTTTGGACTCCCTGATACATCAGCAAGCCTGCTACTGGAGGGGCAGGGGCGCATGAAGGAGGTGTCCAGCACACGGGAAGTGCACACAAGCACTTATTCAGGGATGGAAAAGCACTCACACGCAGAGCTTGGTCTGCAGAGGAAAGCGCCGATGAGTCCTTCCTTGAATGAGGTTGGGCACTACAGTTCAGGGTCTGGGGAGCAGGGACATCTTAGCAAATATCTCCAAAGGGCTCAAAGGGTTGAAAGAAAGCCCCTGGGGGGAAAGCTGCTAGGGGCCAGAACTGTGTATACAATGGGCCTCTGGAGCTCCAGGTTGGACAGGGTGGGGATGGGGGGCTGAGGGGGGCTGGGGGGTGGGGAAGGGGGTAGCCCGCCAAGGGCTTGTGCTTGGTCTCCTTGCTGTGGAAGCCCCAGCCAGAGGACACAGGATTAAAGGAAGGCGGGGAGGTGGTAACTGGAGGCAGCCCAGCTCTGCACGCAGGGGAGATGGGACTCCAGAGGGAGGGGGGCTGCTGTGGAGGGTGGAGAAAAGCGAGGTCCAGTTGGCCTTTTGCCTTCAAGAATCTCGGAGACTGTCCCCTCCCGGGGACACCTCTTTGGCACTCTGTGAACTAAGGCCCTTCCAGAGAGGGCCAGGGTACTTTCTCTTTGGCAGCCCCCCAAACAGAGCAGCAAGAAATACCCACTGTGCCGTACAGAAAGGCGATGCTGTCTCTCTGGATGACAAAACATAACACAACAAAACAGAAGAACCCACTTGCAGAAGAAGGCTTCCCCTCCAACCTGGGGTGGGGGGGCCCGGGGCAGGCTCCTCTAGCAATTTCTTGGCTCTCTCCAGGCCCCTGATTTTGAGCACTTGTGGGTAGAGAGGGGCCCTCGCAGCCCATTCATCCTGACTGGGTGGGCGCAGCAGGTTGCCTGCTGTGGGGGGAAGTGGGGTGGGGAGGAGCGTACTGACCCTGATTCCCACTGAAGACTGCACTGCCCATTTTTGATAGGAGTCAAGGTTCGTTTATTCGTCAAAATTATTTCATCAGACTAGAAACTTGGGGGATCACTTTTAGAAGGCCAGGAGCATGAGGGCCAGGCCACCCTAGGTTGTGGTCCTGTGGAGGAAGCCGTGTGGCGTCTCATTATGGCTTTCCTCTCCGACCTACCCGATTTACCGGCCTTCTGTTATTTCCTTCCTAGAGTGGAAGGGCCAGCCCCGTTTGGGGCAATAAAAAAAATAGCAGCGATATTCTTCCTTGATACTGTTTCCAGTCTCTACCACTTTAAAGGCTGATCTATGCATCCTTCTTTTGCTTCATAACATTACAAGGGGGAACAGCGGACAAGTAACTTGCCCAAAGTCACCCGGGGATAAAGATGGGAAGATTCTTATTTCCCGCATACTCCCTGGGACGTCACCTCCCTGTCTTGTGGGTGTGATGGTCCAGGGAGGGCCAAATCAGGTGATCCTGTCTGGGGTGCGGGGGTGGGGTTGGTGAGGAGGTGTGCTTAATCCACGAGATGGGTTAGTTTCCCAGGGAGGGCTCTGCTAACTAGTACCAGAATCTAAATGTGACCAATTCTGTGAGCCCCTTTTTGACGGAGTTTCCCCTTAATCATCACACTTGCTTCTCCCCTGCCCTTTGTAACCAGGACAACGAGGGTGCCTCCAAGTGTTTCAGGGACATGAGCACAGATAGAAAATTATGGACGCATGGAGAACCAGGGCACGGTTCTTGGCACTGAGAGTCTGCAGGCCACACGCTTGTCCAGGCAAGAGGACAGACGGAGACCCAGGCCTGTGCCACACATGCACGCACGTGCACACACACACACACACACACACACACACACACACACACGACCAGGACATCATCATAAAAAAGGAGAAGGGGGGGATTCAGCAGCAGAGAGACTGGCTCAGAACCCCCTGAGCGGTCCCTGCAGCCTCTCCGGGGGGACCCCAGAACAACGGCCACATTCCAGTGATGTCATGCGCCGGTGATCTGCCCTTGTTGGGAAGAGAGAGGGGGGAAACAGTTTTGTAAGAGCCACTGTGGATTATAAAGGCATTGCATTGCAGCAGGACAACTCAAGGAGAAAACCCAAGAGGGCCAAGGAAACCACCGAGGGGCGAGGACCCAGAAGAGGAAAAACCACAGCGACAGGACGAGAGGGACAGCGGGGGCCACGCGGGGTCCCGGAGGGAAGGTTCAGCAGTGTCCACGCTTATAAAACCTGCAGCTGCCCCACCAGGGCACATGGGATGGCCCCCCTGCCATCCGTCTGGGCAAGAGGATCCAGTTAGGAGCTGAAAACCCTGTGGGAAGACAGGGGGGGAGGGAGTTAGTGCCAGGGAGGCAAAACTGCACTGTTTCCTTAGGAGCTACAGAGAAGCCACAAAGCTCTGGGCACAGGGGCTTCACTGCCCGTTCCTCGGCAGGCTCCCTGCCTCGGACAGCACCTGACCCCTAGTTGGGGCTCGTCTTGAATGCATGGACGAACTAACGAAGGAATGAATGAGTGCTTGCTCACCAACACAACTGGCCAGGAAGAGGGACAATGAAAGGGGCTTCCTGATAGGCCGAAGGAGCTGGAATCTTAAAGGCAATACAGTGAGCCCACTGGACACAAAATATGTTTTGTACATATGGGGAAAAAATGAGGCTGCTTAAGAAATGGGGTGTCTTCCCTATGCTACCGAAAATGAGACAACCCAAGTCCTACCCAATTTAACATAAAGGGCACACAGCGGTGGTTTGGAGGCACTCTGTGGGGGGGCATGGGGTGAGTGAGTGGCATTACCATCGTGGTTAAGAGGTCCCGGCCTTAAGGTGAAGTTTAGTGAGACTCAATCCAGTCTTGTGGTGCCTCACACTTTTCCCAGCAATTTCGAGAGGACCAGTGAGATTGTCAAAATAATACCAATTGGGATCTGCGTGGATGAGAACGCTCTGGGCAATCTGGGGGGTGTGGGAGGTGGTGTATAAAGGGAGGGACCTGCAGCGGGGAATACACCTTCCCGGAGGCTGGGGCCGTTATTCCACTAGGGGGCGCCCCAGGCAGACGTGGACATGCAAAACCAGGGTTCCCACACTTGGAGGGGCCTCAGAATCTCTGGAGGGCTCCTTAAAAACATAAACCTCGGTTCTCACTCCAGAGTTTCAGAGTCAGCAGGTCTGGGGTGGCCTGGGAATTTGCATTTGTAGCCCACTCTCCACTGTGGGAAAACCAGGGCAAACGAAGCCAGACATCCTCCAGCCGTTAGGACTGGGAAAAGAGGGTTCTGCCCGCCCCTCAAGCCCCTGGGAAGGAGCCTGCTTACTCATCGGTGTCTTTTTTGCTCTCCTCAATGAAGGCAATGGATTCAGATCTAAGGCGGTTGGTCACTTCATACGTTCGCAGGGTGACCCCGAAAATATCCTCATGGTACCGGTTGTCATCCTGGGGGACAGAAACAGCCCTCAAATGCCAGCCAAAGGCAGGAGAGGGACAGACACGCTGACAACCTGGAATGGAATGTCGCTAAAAAAGATGGGTTCTAAACAAACAAGATGTAACCCAGTGCCCCCTGGAGGAGCTCTGGCCTCCTAACCCAGGTGGCAAAGAACATTTCGGTTCACATCTGAACTGGCACACCTTGGACAAAAGTTTTTATGCAGTGTTCAACCTGGACAACTGCACAGGACAGTGCTGCAGCTTGGTTCTGGGGGCAGGAAGAGTCGGTTTCGGAAGGTTTCTACCCAGCTACCCAGTGATCCACCCGCTTGTTACTTTCACACACCACAGCCCCCACCCATATTTAATACACGCACCTGCACACCCAACACCCAGTCCTCCACCTTCTCTCTCAACTACGGTTTGGGACCACGGGTATCCTCTACCCTGAACCATAAGTGGGAAAATGGGAGCAGGCGGGGATGTCATCATGGCCCCTCTAATCACTGAGACAGGTGGGGTGAGGAAGAGGAGACAGGAACCAGTTGCTGACAAAGGGATCCAAGAAGCCAGCCTGTCACTTACCCTCAGCCTGCTGATGAACACGCCTGCATCCTCCACTGAGAGTTTCCCCTGCTGGGTCATGATGCGCTGGATGGCTTTGAGGACATCGGCGGCCATGGTGACATCCCCACAGACATAGATGTGGCCCCCTTGCTCCTTCAGGGCTTGGTACACCGGTTCTGCCAAATGCTCTTGCAGGATGTCCTGCACGTACTTCTGCAGGGAGCAGGAAGACCCATGAGAAGGAGCTGGGTCCTGGGCAGAGCCTGATACAGGTGACCCAGGGGAGCGGGAGGAGTGAGTAAGAGAAGGAAAGCTGATCCGAGGGTGTGCGAATGAGCTGCACCCCGTGTTGGAGCTCAGCTGTGCTGAGGACCCTCTCGAAGGTCATGCAGAACACATCCCAGAGCCATAACCCGGGGGAGCACAGGGTGGGTCACAATCTACCTGCTCCCTGGCCAATGGCCAGTGGTCCCCCCTGGGGTGTTAACACCTGTTAACTAGGTGCGGGGTACATCCTATGCTGGGGTGCCAGAGAAGCCCCAGGGCAGACAGCAAGAGATCGAGAGGTGAGGGGCTGTGAGCTCACACCTGCACAAAACCAGCTGCTGCAGGAAGAGCTGGAGTAGAAAGTGGGCTAAGAGAAAGTGGGGTGGCAACAGGGGTGTCCACCATAGCCTCCAGGGCATTTGCCTTATTTGTTCGGGATGTCTTCCACTTGTCTAGGAAACTGCCCCCAGGGTGAGGTGGACACGAAGCTGCTATGTCCTGGCACGGCTGTCCTGCTTGTAAAAACACTGGTGTACTTCCACCCCAGCTGTCAGATGGCCACTACCCACCCTCCGAGTGCCCACCCCACCCCAGCTGTCCTGGCCCCTTTCCTGAGACCCCCTGGATCTCCCCAAGATCCAGGAGGAGCACGCTCCAGTTGTGTGGCCTGTGTCCATTCTGACTGGTAGCACCTCTTGTGGACTCTTACATGTTTTTTTTAAATTCATATTTTAAAAATATTTTTATTTTGGTAAAATATGCAAAACATATCATTTACCATTTAACCATTTTAAAGTGAACAATTCAGTGGTATCTCGTGCACCACTGTCTTGTGCAACCATCACTCTATCTGGTTCTAGAACTTATTCATCATCCCAAAAGGAAATTCTGTACCCACGAGCAGTCACTCCTCATTCCCCTGCCCCAGAGCCCCTGGTAACCCCAGATCCGCTCTCTGTCTCTACGGATTTGGCTGTTCTGGATATTTCACATAAGTGGCATCCTACAATATGGGCTGTTAAATATTTTAAACCGATATTTTTTTGCTCCTGCTTCTGCTTCCTGAAGTACAGAGCAATGTCCTGGAGAATTCAGAATAGGTGAGGGGGTGACTGGGGGTGGGATACGCATGAGTGTACAAGCATGTGTGTGTGTGTGTGTGTGTGTGTGTGTGTGTGTGTGTGTGTGTATCTAGGCTGGGGTGTGGGCACTGTGCACGGGCCGGGGGTTACCTTTGGTTTGTCCGGCTCCCGGGAGTAGGCCGTGTACAGTTCTCTGAAGACCCCCTTGTTCTTGGCTTGTAGAGTCTCCTCCCTGTAGATGTGGTCTATCTTGGATTGCCGGCACCCGAACACCAGGACCATGGGGCAGGGGCTCATTCCTGGGGACCAGGAAGATCTCACGTCACTCACGGCTCTGATGCCCAATTTGGGGGGGGGTGGCTGGTGGTACCAGGGGAGGGGGTACTGGGAACCTTTGTGCACGTCACATGGATAGAGGCACATGAACACTGGGACAGGTGGGGTGTATGTACTTGCTCACAAGTACACCCATGTATACACATGCACGCACCTGCGTACACTGAGGGAAGTAGGTGAAGTGTGTTCAGATTTTAGCACACCTCCTTTCTCTAGGTCTCAATCCTTCCTTCTGCCCCCCTGGCTACTTAGCATCCCCTGCTACTGGGTCATGCCGAAAGCCCAGTCTGTGGAGCTGCACTACCCGGGTTCAAAACCCAGCTCTGTGCAATGATGAGCAACTTAACTTTCTATGTGCCCATTTCTGCAGGTACAAAATGGAAGTAATAATAGCATCTACCTCCTAGGGTTACTCTGAGATGTAAAACATTCAAGCCCAGTGAATATACAGTGAATCCTTCATCAATGTTAGCTATTCCACCAGAATGACTGGTCCATGGGGGTGGCTTTTTTTTTTTTTTAAGCTGTTTCTCTGTCTTATTCAATGCTGTCCCTTGGCACCTACAACAGTGCTTGGCATTTATTAGATGCTCAACAAATCCCTGGTTAATGCATGCCACAACTGTGGGTTTCTTTCTCTCTCCTCCTGGAGCTGATCTGTTGGGTCTCTCACACAGCAAAGCCTGCTCTTGAATAACTGCCTTTGGGACAATCCCACAAATGTACAAACACTTGATAAGGCTTAAATATTTACTCTCCTAGGGCTGCTTCAGATTTCAGATGGGTCCTAGCGTAACACAGAAATATCTTCTGGGATGGAATTTCAGGCCCTAGAACAAGCTGTGTGGGAGATTGGTCGGGACAGGTCCTTTGAAGTATAACCATGAACCTCACCTATGGGTCAGGTCAGTACTATGACCCCTCACCCCCCGCCCTCCCCCAGGGAGTGATTCAATGGAGAGAGAACTTTGTCATTCCTCTGGGTGGCTGAGCCACAGGTGGGTCTGCCCAGGTCCAGACGGGGTGGACATCACCTGGCTGCTGAATTGTGACCCACCTTTGTGTTGGATATCAAATTGCCGCTGCTGCCAGAAACTTCGGAAAGGGGCAATGCCAGTGCCTGGGCCAATGAGGATGCAGGGCACTTGGGGGTTTCGGGGCAGGTGGAAGCTGGGTGCTCTGGACAAGAGAGAGAGAATCAGAAGGCTTGCTGCGTTCAAATCTGATCAAGGGTGGCTGGGCCTTGGGTAGACCAGACGGCCGTCTTGGTGATACAGTGGGATTCCACTCTCTAGCTGGGGTCAGGTGCCCCTTATCGGAGTGGGAGGTCCCACAGCTTTGGGGAGTTCCCCAAACAGGAGCCCCTCAGTGTCTGGCTACCACTCCAATTCCCAATTTTCCTCATTGCTGAGCTAAGCCACCAAGGGCATTGTTTTAACTCAGGCCTTCCAGATCTCAGCACTGCTGATAGTTGGGGCTGCATACTTCTCTGCTAGGGGGGGTGTCCTGTGCACTGTAGGATATTGGGCGGCACCCCTGGTCTCTACCTCCTAGATGCCAGGAGCACCCTCCAGCTGTGACAAACAAAACTCTCCACAGCCTTTGCCACAGGTGCCCTGAGGGGGAAAATCAGCCCCTGCTGAGAACCACTGATGTAGGCACTGGCGAGATCTCCTAAAATCAGGGAACAGACTTCTGTGTACAGAAGAATCACCCCGTGGCGTTAACAGTGCAGAGTCTTGGGCAGTGCAGCAAATCTGGCTCAGGATACGGTATTTTTGAAGAACCATCGGGGATTCTGATGGTCATGGTATATGGACCATCCTCTGAGCACTCCTCTCTCAAGAGCTGAGAAAAATCACTGGTCAAGACCACTGTTCAGGTACAGAAGTCACTGGTTGACAAAGCAGGAACCTTACCAGCTCAGGAATGGCCCTCATTGTGAAAAATGTTTAAGTTGTAGTTTTTATCTGATGGTGGTAAGAACACTTCAATGAAATCCACCCTCTTCACAAAATTTTTAAGTGCACGATACAGTACTGTTCATCGTAGGTAGGAACGTCCTTTAAAACTGAGTTTGGGGGGCACCTGGGTGGCTCAGTTGGTTAAATGTCTGCCTTCGGCTCAGGTTGTGATCTTGGGGTCCTGGGACTGAGCCCCGCATTGGGCTCCCTACTCAGCGGGGAGTCTGCTTCTCCCTCTTCCCTCTGCCACCCTCCACCCCGCTTGTGTTTGCTCTCTCTCTGTCTCAAATAAATAAAACCGTTTAAATTTATTTGAGACAGAGAGAGAGAGAGAGAGAGGGAGGGAGGGAGCACAATAAGGCACAGTAGCAGGCAGAGGGAGAGGGAGAAGCAGGTTCCCAGGCAGGGAGCCCGATGTGGGGCTCGATCCTAGGGCCCCGGGATCATGTCCTGAGCCGAAGGCAGATGCTTAGCCGACTGAGCCACCCAGGCGCCCCAATAAATAAAAATCTTAAAAAAAAACAAACAAACACAGCTGAGTTCGAGAGAAACAGCTCTGACTGATGGGGGGAAGGTCTGGATCTTCCCCATCTCCGAAATAGTGGGAACAGATAGGGTGGTTGGTAGATAGTGGAGAGAATTTCCACCAGTCTGCAGATTTCAGGAAAGCTGAGACTGCATTTGCCGGGCTGTCTACTGTAGCCCCAGCATCTGGCACAGTACATGCACTTGATAAATATTCATTGCATTGACCTGACTTTGACTGGGGTGGCAGGGGGAGCTTGCTTAGCTGCTGCTGTGTTGCCCGTCCCAAGACCCCATTTACTTAACAGCTTGGAGTGATACTGAGTGTTGATCTCGATTCCGTCTGACTCAGCCATTTCTCCAGAACCCTTGAGGCTGGTCCACCCAGCCCAGCTCAGGACATGAGTATGCAGATTTGGGACAACTGCTCATTTCTCTTCATTTGCCACTCACCCTCTCACGAAACATGGGACCACTTCGTCAGCCTGTATCTGGTTGAGCCAGGAGGAGCACACACCGTGGTGAATTGGTCCTTCTCCATCTGGCAGAATAAGCAAAGTGGTCTGGTGCGCCTACTGCCCCCAGGGTTCCCCGTCACTGGCCTCCCCCTCCCTCCAGTGCAGAAGCTCACAAGCCCATGCCAAGTTTCTGCCTTGGAATTCCCTGTCTGGATCCTCTGAAGGGGAAGCGGGTATGGTATAGTGAAACTGCCCAGGGTCGCCGTGGGTAAGGGTGGGTCGGATTCGCAAAGGTCTCAGTCAGTGTGCTCCCGGTGGCCTTCCAGGATCCCGGTCTTGGAGCTCTCTCAGGCACCATGCATTTTAATTGCTTTATCAAGGAGGGAAATTATGGGAGACAAATGCTAGGATATCTGACTGACCTACAACCAGGAGACTTCATGCAGCAGAGACCTCCCCCCTCCGAGGGATGGGTGGGGGTGGCTTGATCCAGTTGCTGCCTTGGTGGGGGAGGGATGAAATGATGAAGGCAGTAAAAGCACTCTCAGGCTTTGGGAGCAGAGGAAGCTTTCAAGTGCACATCTTCCCTCCTTCCTGACTCTGCACAGGGTTGGCTCCGCCTAAGGGGACAGTCTGCCTGCCCTGCTTCTTCCCCCAGTTCCTGGCCTTGGGGTGGGTCTCCTCTTGGGGATTTGGGATTTGGCAGCCCTGCAGAGGCCCCTGGGGAACAAATGCAGACCCAGGGGGCTCTCCCGGGGCCTCTGCAAATGCAGACCGAGGGGGCTCTCCCCAGGCCTCTGCCTACCTCGGGTGCGGTAGGAGACAATGGCCACGGTGAGGTGCACCTCGTCGGGGTACATGTCTGGGGAGGAGCTGATGGAGTAGTAGCGGGGCTGCAGCAAGGACAGCTGGGTCAGGAGCAGGGTGGCAGGCATCTGGATGGACGGGAACTCCTCCAGCACCTCCACGATGGTGGGGTTCTTGCCCCACTTCCATTCCTCGTACTCCTGCAAACCCTGTGCCAAGGAGAGGGATGCAGAACTTGCACCCTGCTCCGGGTACACATTTCCAGGGAGGGCATCAGAACATCTGGGGAAGGAGGTCAGGAGTGATAAGGATACCTAACACTCACACAGTAATTACTCCGCAGCCAGGTCTAAATTCTTACGACGACCTTATGAAATACATATGACTGTTGTCCCTATTTTATAGCGGGGGAAACTGACAAACACAGAAGCTCTTTGGCTTGGAGGCAGTGATTCTGGATTTTGAGTCTAGGTCAGGGGGTGGCAAACTTCAGCCCAAAAGGTCAATGTGGCTTACTACGTGTCTGTAGGGCTCATGAGCTCAGAGCTGTTTTTACATGTTTAAATTGTCGGGGTAAAGGATCAAAAGAAGGATACTATTTCATGACACGAGAATGTGATATGAAATTCGAATTTCTGTCCCATAAATAAGATATGACTGGAACCTGGCCATGCTGACTCACTTAGGTACTGTCTATGCTGTTGGGTTATAATGGTGTAGTTTAATGGTTGTGAGACGGACCTCATGGACCGTGAGCCTAAAATACTTACTACCAGACTCTTCATGGAAAAAAGCTGCTGACCCCTGCTCTAGGCAGTGTGGCCCCAGCATTTGTGCTCCTAACAATATAGGTCCTGCCACATGCAAAGGTCAGGAGAAAAGCACTCTGGAGAGTGTCATGATTTGCTGGTATGGAATGCAGACCTGTGACCTGTGAATTTGCAGGGCTGCAGATGCATCGGCAGGGAGCATAGGTCAAGTTCAAGACGGTGAATGACAGCCCCAAAGGAAGAGGTTAGGGTGTGGAGGACCGCTTGCAGGGGCTTGTGGACAGCAAAGCCCAGCTGCTACCAGGAAACAGAGGAACTCTCTGGGGCTCTGGAATTAGGTTTTCCTACATCTCAGAAGCTGCTCTGGGCAGTCCCTGATTGCTTATAGAACAGGCTCAGATTTTGAGGGGTAAAGCTTACTGTAAGTGTACCTTATAACCAAGCTTTCCTCCACATTCCTAAAGATCATCCTTGCTTTATTGATAGGGTATGGCATCCTTGAGAACGTGCCTCCCAGACCTCCAGCCTCACTGACCTTGACCTGCAGGGGTGCAATCTGCCAAGAGCCTCAGGAACTGCTCTCTGAAATGGACGTCCACGGGAAACAGACATGGATCACCCATTTTGGTCCTTCCTAAGGCTGCGGCTGCAGTTCCAGATGCTTCCATTCACAGTTCCTTCCCTCTCTGTCACTCGGAGTCAGACTTGTTGGAGATCTGATGGTCCTCCCAGCCTTATCGGACTCTTGCCCATTTTCCCCCTCACACAGGTGTTTCCCTTAATAAAAATCCTCGCTTATTTAATCCCACCTTGGAGTTTGTGCTCTTCAGAAGAAACAGGCTAATACGTACAGTTTATCAAATTCTACTTGAACTCATCCCATGCAAACAGCGCAATCTCTGATCCCTCTTAAAGCAGCCCCTCCCCCATTAATTAAAATTTTAAAGTTATACATGTACATCGTGTACAAAGTTAAACAATTCTGCGAAGTTTACGAAGAAAATTAATGTTCTACTTCTCCGATCTGTTTCCAACTCCCCAGAGTGAACCACTTACAACTCTCTAAGTGTTCCTTTTCATGTCTGTTTTCTCATTTCTAAATATAGCCGACCCTCTAACAACATGGGTTTGAACTGCGCAAGTCCACTTATATGCAGATTTTTTTTGATAAATGTAATAGAGGACTGTAAATGAATTTTCTCTTCCTTATGATTTTCTTTTCTCCAGCTTACTTTATGGTAAGAATACAGTATATAATACATAAAACATACAAAATATGTGTTAATCAACTGTTTATGTTCTCAGTAAGGCTTCTGGTCAACTGTAGGCTAAATTAGTGGTTAAGTTTTGGGGGAGTCAAAAGTTACATGTGGATTTTCTACTGCACAGGGGGTCAGCACCCCAATCCCCACGTTGTTTCCCAAGGACCAGCTGTAACATACATTCTTTGAATTAGCCTTTTCCTGTCGGCCCATCATACGTCCCTCTCCTGGACAGCAGAAGAAAGCCAAGCCATCCTTTGCTGATGGCTTGCTTAGTGGGGAGGAGCCCCCACTGGGAGAAGTCTGGGTAGTCCTCCTGGGTAGAAGTCTTACTGAGTAAGATTTTGCAGCAGCTTGGGGCAAGCAAGTCCTAGGTTTCAAAGCGAGGGTGGTAGAAATGTTTGATGCATTTTACCATCATAGGGCCTCCTCTGTCTTGCAAGTCCTACCAATAGCTCCTCGGTGTTGGGAAAGGCCTCTCTAAAACAGGGTACTGTGGGATTCTTCTCTGTTTCTTTTCCTTCTAAGCATGGGCTCAGATGGAGCTAATGGAAACTCAAGAGTTCCAAAGGAAGGAGGAACAAGAGTTAGAACAGTAATTTCTACTGGGCCAGAGAGCTCTGAGATTCAACAGGGCTACCCTCGTTCTGTCAGACCTTAGTTAGAACGAGCGGGGAGGGTGAGGACAAGCCAAAATGGACTAGCCAATATGGCGACCATCTGCAAACTGAAAATCGGCAGCTCTTGCTCCACACTGCCATCTGCTGGACGACTGTTGTAATAGCTACATAACTCTCCACCGACTCAGAGGTGAAAGGTACCCTTGGGGTTGTAGGGGGCCAGGGACCCACCTTGCTGAGGACCAGCAGACGCTGCTTCTCTTTCTCGCTGGTGGCCAGGGAGGCAAACTGCTGCAGCTGCAATGGCGTTGGCGGCGTGGTGATGTCCAGGTAGTACTTGAAGGCCTGGAAGATGGTGCAGGGCGGGAGGCGGTGCTCGTCTGTCCAGTTACTGATGACTCCTATGGAGGTACAATGGAGGTGAGGGGTGGATGGGGGAAGGAGAGTCTGAGCTCCAAGGGCTTGGGTCTAAGTCAGGAAGGCCAGATTTTCTCCTGGGGCAGAGGTTGGGGCCGGGTGAGCCAAGCAATCCCTTGGCTTGTCACCTTCCATGTCCCACATCTAGACCCAGGGTTCTGGGGACCCTGTGATCGCCTCATGCATGCAAGGAGCATATCCAAAATCAACTGAGCAAATTAGTTCAAAAATTAAAAAACAAACCAATATTAAAATAGCATGAGACAGTCCGTCCTCTGGCATTCTACGCAGTGAGCCCCGCACCGAGCACGAGCTAGGAGTCTTATTTTGGTTCTGTCTGACCTCTCATGGTGTTGGCCCCTCAAACCTCTAAGTGGGATTCCAGTGTTTAAAATGACAAACATGCCTAACACTTTGCTAGCACTTTCTATATGCCAAGTGCTATTCTCAGCACTTTATATTATTAACTCACTTAGTCCTCACAACAACCCTAGGTGGTGGGTGCTATTACTATCCCCATTTTGCAACTGAGAAAAAGGGAAGCACAGAGAGGTCAAGGAATTTGCCGAAGGTAACACAGCTCATAGGCATGAAGTCAGGCAGTCCTGCCCCAGACCTTGTTCTAACTACCACACTGTACGGTTTCTGTGTAATTTTCCATGGCATATAGCCCCAAGCATAGCGTCTACTTTATCAGGGGCTCAACCCAAGATAAAAAGTGCTGTTCCAACACGAAGAAGAACCGGCTGGGTTGGATTTATTAATATAAAGTGTTGTCTCTCCAAAGTGGTATCGCCCAAAGGACTTTTCAGTTGGGCTTTGACCATATGCTATTTTTCACATTCTGCTCTGACCGTACACTCTAGCTCCTTTGTAAAGGGGCTATGTTATCATATTCTGGGCTATCAGGTAAGGTCACCATGGTTCCTGGTTCCTGAGCCTGAGCTCACCTGTGCCTCCTGAAATGAAGCCCTGAGACCCATTTGCCTTTGAAAGTTCTTCAACAGAAGGGTCAAGGATGGTCACTGAAACAGACCAGAACCTGATCTAATTAATGATGGTTCAACCTTGAGTGCGCCATATAGTGCCTCTTGATTTTAAGAGGAGGGAGGGGTACACATCAGCTGCTGTTTATTCGGTGGGCAGTGAGGCGAGGGTGATGAAGGAAGGCAGAAGCCCCTTCCCCCAAGGACGAGCTATGGATGTCCTGGCATCATGGACATTGGCTCAGCCAGTTGGGCCATGGTGGTTCAGCCATGAGAAAGGAGGAGTCTTCAGTCTCATAAGCTGGAGGAGACAGAGACCCACTCTTCCGCCTGGACTGGTGATTGGGAAGAAGGATGGGTCTCCTCTTCCCCAGACACCCACTGCTTCTGGGACTCCCCGGAGAAGGGGAGGGTTCTCAGGAGGCGCCAGGTGAGGGGCCCCCCCGCCCTGCTGTGGTTACCCAAAGCCGTGTTTCGCTCCTCCAGCAGCTCCACCTTCACCAGCTGGTTGACCGGGGGTGCGTCCTCCAGCCGCTCCATCAGGGCGTTCACGAGGTCCTCGCAGTTGCCAGGGAAGACACCCAGGTGGTCCCCAGGCTGGTACTGTAGCTCCTGATTCCCATTGGTGTGCAGACGCACGAAGATGGTTGATCGGCTGGAGGGAAAGGCGGGGAACAGTCGGAGAAGTCACCAGCTACTGCCTCCTTTGTCTCTTTTTGTGGCTGCAATCCCCCTCCGTTCATTCTCCGTGGGGCCGAGGCCAATGAGCCCTGTGCCCCCATCATTCCAACCATGGCTTTAAGCAGGTCACCCAAGAGCTCCTCAGTGCAAATCCATTGCCAAGTCCCGAGCACTCATCTTGCTCATGGAACCAGCACATGGAACCAGCTCACTTCCTCCTTCTCAACTCCCTTCTCCTGGGTTCTAGCACCCCACGCTCTCCCAATCTTCTGTCATTTGGCAGTTTCTTCTCCTCTCCCCAAACTCTGGCCACTAGAGCACCTCAGGGTTCAGTCCTCAGATTCCTTGCTTTTTTATCTTCCCCAACCTACCTCTCTCCATAGCACTTACTGGTGTCTGCCTTCTTGTGGAGTTTATATCATCCTGTGGTTTGTGGTCTGCCCTCCCCTGCCTACCGCCCCTCCCCACCCCCAGCCTCCAGGACAATTTCAAATTCCAGAGGGCAAGGAATCTGTTTTGTCCACTGCTCTATTCCTGGCAAGGAGGACAGTGCACAGCACATAGTTGGTACTCAAGAAATATTAGATGAAGGAACCTCAGACTCTCAGGGTTAACCAGTTGCCAGAACAGACTCTGTTCTCAGTACCAACTGGGGTTCTCCCAGGAATCACGACCCCAAGCAGTGGAGTCCCCAGTCTGTGTCACGCCATCTCTCCTGGGAATCCTAAGGTCTTCCCCGCCGCCTTTTGTAAGTGTGGTTGCACGGGGGGGGGGGCTCCTCATATTATAAAGGGAAAGACATTTGGTCTTGGTTGTGCACAAATCCACCCATAAAAATGAGAGATCCAAGGAGAAAACACACGGAGAAATTGATTTATGTCCTGCCAGATCCTTCCCTTTTCCATTGGTTTTTGTATTTTAAGGGCAGGAGGCCCATGCTAAAGGAGGGCTTCAAGAATGAATTTTCAGACTACGATCATTCTGGTCCTTTAAAAGGTTTTAGTACAGACATACTGCATTTTACACAATACCTGAGAACTTGGGGGCTGATTACACTTCGGTAAGTCAGATTCTTTGTCCTCTTTGGGTTCCGTAGGCATTTCAGATCTGCTTTTCTTCATTGCCAACTGGTTCTTATTCAACATGAAGTTTCTACATTCTCCATGGTATGTAAATCAACACTTGAATAGATCAATGGGACTCGCTATATAAAGGAGTCTCTGGCACACCCAAGAACCCTTTTGTGCTGCAAATAGCCACCGTTATTAGAAATAGTTGTGCTGGCACATTTACTTTTTTGCAAGTATTTTCTCGAAGCAAGGCACCCCTGTCCTTCTTATGGTGGGGAAAATTGGTGGCTGACATTGTGAATGGTGGTGTCAGGGCCTGGGGTCCCATTCTCCTTTCCTGGACAGATTTTGCTATCTCTGGGGCACTAATCTTGTCAATTATACAGACTTGCACGGCTGATTCGGCTCTGAGCTCATTCGGATTCCTGGTTCCTGGAGAGCAGAGACACCATCACCTCCTGCCAGCTCCAGGGTTAGAATTAGCAGAGGCTGACAGCCAGCAGGGGGCGCTGTGGGGCTGCTAATTTCGGAGCCTCCTGCACCAACCACAGGAAGCCTTTGAAAGGCCCCCAAATCAATTCCCACTTTCTCCCAGATCATCACGATTTCTTTCAGAAGTATATTTGCCTCCATTCTGGCCGGTACAAAATAGAAATGCGGAGGACCCGAACTTGCTGAGCTGGCTCATGCTCACAGCCATTTCCCCCAAGTAAGTCCTCTTGAACGTGACACAAGGTGGTCAGGCAGACAAAGGGCAGGAATGGGGAGGCAGTTGACAGATTAGCTAGGTGGCCCAGGCTCTGCCAGGGCTGGGAATTTAACCAAGGGGATGTTTCATGCCTCTGGTCAGACGTGGCTTGCTGAGACCCCCAGGCTGAATGGCTGTGTGGCCTCAGGGCATCCTGGTGGGCTGGTCTTTGAAGCCTTGTTGGGGAAGCAGATTCCCCCCCAACCCTCTCTCTCGGTAGCACTAATCTGGAGACCAGTCGTCTCAGTTCTGCTGGGGGTTTTAAGTATAGGATTTTGTAAGCTTTTTTTTTTTTTTAAAGCTTGGGACACATATGGCCATTGAGAAGTATGGGGGGAGGGGAGAAAGGGCAGAAAGGGCAGTGTGGGAAGGTAGTGGTCATTTGGGGGCTCTCCATCCCCTCCTCCAGACTCCAGAAGCACAACACACACACACTCACACACCCACACACACGCACGCACGTATGCTTGGCAGTGGTCCAATGACAGGTTCACTGATGAAACAACAGTCTGCTAACGTCCAGCATTAAATGGAAAAAAAATAGCTAATGTTCATTCTTTAAGGAAAAGAATAAACATTGTAAGTTTTATTCATTCAGCAAATTTGTGTTGAGTGTCAGGCACTGCTTTAGGCACTGTGAGACAGTGATGGGTCTGGGGTTCCATTCTCATTGAGTGTCCAATTCTCATTGAGAAGCAACTTAAAAAGGTCCCAGAGGGAAGGGTGGGTGGTGATGGGTTGGGGGCAGTGGGCTGAGTGATCATCAGGTAGGATGATCAGGGAGGCCTCTGTCGTGACGTGATATCTGAACAGAGATCTGAACAATGAGAAAAAGGGGACATGCAAAGATCTGTTTGGGAAGAGTGTTCGCATGTGCAAAGGCCCTGGGGTAGGAAAAGGTGTGGCATATTTGGAGAAGGGAAAGAAGGCTGGAATGTTTGGAGAGTGGTCAACACAGATGTGGGGGGTGGGAGAAGGAGATTAGACTGCTGGGCAGAGGCTATATCATGAGGGCTTCATCATGACCTGTCATGGCAAGAGGTTTGGAGGTCTCCTCAATCCAGTGGGAAGCCACTAGAAGGTGTAAAGCTATGGAGTGATACGATTCAATTTACATTTTTCCAAGATTGGTCTGGCTGCTATTTGGAAATGGAGCTTTGAGAGAAAAGCCAAGAAACAAGGAGACAAGTTAGGGTCTACTGTAGCCACTCATACCATCGATGAACATGGCTTTGCTCAAGGTGGCTGCTGTAGGTCTGAGATGAAGTTGAAAGTCAAGTCCCGGAGGACCAGCTGAGGGCCGGACACGCAGTGTGAGAGGGGGAGAGGAAGCAAGAAAGATGCTGGAGTTTTTGGCTTAAGCCAAATGTTGATGTTCTCCGTTGAAACGGGGAAGGCCAGAGAGAAGCAATTTCATCCAAGGAGAGATGAGAATCAAGAGGTCCCCCACCAAGAACTGTCTATTGTAATAACCCACCACTCTCCGTGATGCCCCAGCACTCAGCCCCCGCTTCTGCACCTTTGTTCCTGCTAGCCTCTGCCTAGATGTCGCTCCTCTGTTCTCATTCCCTTTCCAAAGCCTACCATGCGCTTCCCCTCCTTTGGACCTGTAGGACTTATGATCAATGATCACGGCACCTGTTACAGCTCCATTATACTCCCTTCTGTATTGTTTGCTAATTGGTGTACTTAGAAAATGTATTTCCTGGCCAGACAGTAACTGTGGTCACTTTTCTCTTTAGATGTGCAAGGATCACCGTCAGAAGGCTGTTTACTTCCTCCTAAGCACTTTGCTTGCAATTAAGGGTCTGGGAGGCGGGGAGTAATTTGTGATATCTCACTTATGGCTTCCTGGCCCAAACAGCCTGACTTTGGGCTGATTTGGGCAGGGAAAAACGGGAGAGAGTATCATGCTTTTTTTACTTGATCATCCCTTAAAACAAACCAACAACTTATAAAGCTGGAGATGGTAGTAAGCCTGAAAATAGGTCACGCTCCAGAGTGTGCTTCTAAAGAGAGAGATACCTACATACAATTTGATCCTTTTTGTGCTAATTCACGACTGATTCTAATACTAGCTTCTGGTTCCTAACCTTGCTGAAATATTCAGTCTCTTGTAAGTCACTCAGCATAGAGTCAGCTACCCTTTCCAGAGGTGAGTGGGGGTTATTCTGGGACTTTGGTCCAACTTAGCATCAGAACATTTGCAAAGGACCTTGCTTTTTATGTACCATGGTTTAGGGAGTAATTTTTGTGATTTGGTCTTTCACAGTTTGTTGCTAAAGGAAATTTCCAATGGATTCTTAGTCTCTTCTCTTCCATGCTACTGAAGTCATCCCTTTCCACAGGGCAGAAATGGGAAGTAAGGGTGCATATTTCAAACACAAGGTCCCTCTCTGTATCAGAGATCCCTATTCTCCAAATGCTGCGTTTAACTAATTATTCAAAGGGATTCATTTCCCAACCCATTTCTTTAATGTTTGAGGATCTAAGTGAGTACATGAGAGCTTGGGGGCTTCATCCTGCTGATAACTCCATTAGAGGCCTGAAGTCCATGTAGAAAGCATGCATACTAAATTTGCAGGTGTTTGAAGCTGGGATGGACAAGGAAGGGTAATGGGAAGTTATGATACGCTAGTTGTTTTGTGCACCTCGTCTTTGACACAGCAGCCTTGCAATGCTCTTGAGGACACCTGGGTAGCCATTCGGCATGCTCACTTTGGAGTTGGAGAACCAAGTCTATGTGACCTTGAAAAAGTCCCTTGCATTATCTACTTGTCACTTTCCATATTTAAAACATCGATGATGGGGCGCCTGGGTGGCTCAGTCAGTTGAGCGTCCGACTCTTGATTTCAGCTCAGGTCATGGTTGTGGGATCAAGCCCCGCGTCCGGCTCCACACTCAGTGGGGAGTGTGCTTGAGATTCTCTCTCTCCCTCTCCTTCTGTCCCTCCCTGCCTAAAATAAATAAATAAGTCTTTAGAAAAATTTTAAAAAAATGCCGATGGTAATAGTCCCAACTTCCTGGGCTGGTCAAGAGTTCTGGGAGATCCCGCACAGAGAGGACTCAAAACAGGGCTTGGCACACAGAAAGCTCTAGAGAAATGTCAGCAATCTGTAGAGACACTGTTCTCATTCTGCACAAGGAGACAGGGGCTTGGAGGACCTGAGTGACTGGCCCACGGTCACATGGCTAGTGTGCAGCAGAGCTGGGGTCAGAACCCAGGGCTGTCCAGCTCATAAGCCCACTCTGTACTAAAGAATCAAGATTTCAAAAGATCGGCATGGGCTGTAACGGGAAAGTGAAAAAAGATGCCATTCCTTAGGGCTCAAGGCAAAGGACTTCATTAAGGCCAAAAATCTTATTTACACAAGTTGAGGGATGGGCAGTCCTGGCTCACTCACTTTGAAAAGAGCAGCAAGGATGTAAGCTTAACGGGAGAGCAGGCATGGCCCCCAGGACAAAGCCCGTGATCCTGGGCGACATCCGTGTGTCCTGCTCACATTGGGGGCGGGCTGTAATGGCTCTAGTGCATGTGGCAGCCATGACAGGTCCTCCCCTGTGCTGTGACCAGGCCTGGGAAGGACACTGCCTGCAGGACATTGTGTCCTTTTACTAAAACGAAAGGCGTGGGAAACTGGGTCTGAGGAAGCACGATCTGAAGCAATCAAAACCCAGGAGAGATTGGTCAATGTCCTTGGCTCTTAGCAGGTCTCTCATTTGGAAGAACGGAGTTTGTTTTGGGTATGACCAGAGTATAACTGAGATCACTATAGAGTGCTAGGAAGATGACCTTTGGTTATAGCAATAGTAAGATAATTTCTAACAATTAGGACTTTGAAACACAGAGTGGGCTGTTTGGTGAGGTAATGAACCTCCCGTCATCCCAAAGGAATTTAAGCAGCGTCTGGGTAGCCCGTTTTCGGGACTCTAGAGAAGAATCACCCACAAGGAGGAAATGTTCTCTGACTAGGATGCTCTGGTACAATGAACATGAGCAGTTTGACAAGGGTGCGGTCTATATTAAAAATTCCTCATAAAACCTTTCCCTTTCGGCTTTCCACGATGATCATCAGCATCTCCTCTCTTGGTCCCTCTAGGTGGGAGCTTGGCAAAGGGAGAGCAGGAAAACGTCGATGCTACAGAGCAACAAGGGCACCTCAATGGCACTTGGGATGGTCTTGGGAAGCCAGCCCCCCCGAGTCAACCAGGGCTCCTCCCTGATGGTGGGGGGGGTGCATCTGGAGCACAGGTGGGGAACCCCGAGCCAACCAAGGTGCTCCTACCTGGATTTAGGGCTCTGAAGGTTTTGACGGCTGAGGAGTCGAGCGGCTGACACCCGCTTTTTGTGGACATTGGAGAGACCTGCGGTGAGAACAACAGTCTCCCTGAGATGCGGTTAAGGCACGGCCAGCCCAGAGCCTCCAGCTTCTCCTGACTCTCTCCTCACGCTCCCACTGTCCTCTGGGGGTGAAGCGAAGAGATGAAAGAGAAGACATGGCGGGGTGGGGGTGGGCTGTGGATAATGCAGAAGCAGAAGCAAATCTGGCTGAGCTGAGCTGAGAAGAAGGTTTGGGGGTAACGTGCCGCCCTGCTGGACGCGCATTTGTTTTCGGAGCACGGCGCTGAAGGGAGACAGAAGCCATGACACCCAGCTCCTCGTGGCACCTTTCCCCTCCCCCCGCCGTCCTGCAGCGCCCCCCCGGCCCCCCCGAGGAGGGTGTGGGGGTACCTTGCGTAAGCTCTGGAGCTTCGGCCACGTAGGTGAGACGGAACTTGTTCCTTTTCCAGCTGCGGTCATTGCTGATGAGGGAGTTGTTGGCCTTCTCGATGTTGACGTCATCTCCCACGCAGAACACATCGCAGGCTGCCTGTGGCGCACACAGGGCTCTGGGTGACCCCGTCCAGCCAAGAGGGGCTCTCCGCCGACAGCTCCCAGTGCATGGCATCCATGCACTCCTCCGCCCACCTGTCCCTTCATCTGTCCGCCGACCTGCCCTCCTTCCCTTCTCCCTTCCCTCCCTCCCTCTTTCCTTCCTCCCTCCCTCCCTTCCTTCCTCCCTTCCCCCTCCTTCCTTCCATTTGTCATCCATCCTTCCATCCCTCCATCTAAGCCTTTCTTTTTCTTTCTTTCTTTCTTTCTTTCTTTTTCTTTCTTTTTTCTTTCTTTCTTTCTTTTCTTTTTTCTTTCTTTCTTTCTTTCTTTTCTTTCTTTCTTTCTTTCTTTCTTTCTTTCTTTCTTTCTTTCCTTTCTTTCTTTTCTTTCTTTTTTTTCTTTCTTTCCTTCTTTCCTTCTTTCTTTCTTTCTTTCTTTCTTTCTTTCTTTCTTTCTTTCTTTCTCTTTCTTTCTTTCTTTCTCTCTCTCTCTCTCTTTCTTTTTCTTTCTTTCCTTCCTTCCTTCCTTCCACTCACCCACCCACCCATCCACCCATCTATCCATCCCACCACCTACCCGCCAGCCACTCATCCATCAATCTATCCACTAATCCATCCTATATTTTTTGAATGCCTTTGATGTGCTGTATATATCAGATTTACTGATTAATGACGTTAGGATTTAACCTCTATTTAATATGTAACTTTTATGTCATTTATTCCTAAAACCAATATTTGTAGAGGCCTAACATTAAGCAAGAAAATAAACACCTTAGGGGTGCCTGGGTGGCTCAGTCGGTTAAGCGTCTGCCTTCTGTTCAGGTCATGATCTCAGGGTCCTGGGATGGAGCCCTGTGTCAGGCTCCCTGGTCAGTGGGGAGTCTGCTTCTCCCTCTCCCTCTGGCCCTTCCCCTGCTTGTGCTCTTTCTCATATAAATAAATATGAGATGCACTCTCATGCACTCTCATGCACTCTCAGATAAATAAATAAAAATCTTAAAAAAATAAAATCTTAAAAAAAGAAAATAAACACTTTAGAACTTCCTATCTCTTCCTCTAAAGATTTAAACAATTACATTAAAAGCAGAACATATTGAATGTTTGAACACCTGCCTATGAATTTTTCTCTTCTTTCTTTCTTTTTTGCCAAGTTCCTAAGTTCTCTGACTTTAGAAATCCTAAGAATTACCATTTGGGATTCAGGTTTTTGGGATAAAAGCCATGGATAATTCAAGAGTGGTTTTTTTGTTTTTGTTAAGAGAGAGAGAGAGAGAGCACATGAGCAAGGGGGGGGCAGAGGGAGAGGGAGAGAGAGAGAATCTTAAGCAGACTCTGTGCTGAGCGCAGAGCCTGATGTGGGGCTCAATCCCATGATCCTGAGATCATGACCTGAGCCACAACCAAGAGTCAGATGCTTCCTTCCTTCCCAGGCTGCCCCAAGTGCCCCAATTCAAGAGATCTTTAAGGGTAGCTTTACCCATTTTTTGGCCTTGTGTTGATTTTCAGACAATCTAAACATCCATCAACTGATGAATGGATAAACAAGATATGATATATACATACAACAGAATATTATTTGGCTATAAAAAGCAATGAAGTACTGACATATACTACTACAATGTGGATGAACCTTAAAAATACGTGAAATGAGCCAGTTTCAAAAGACCACATACTATATGATTTCATTCATATGAAATGTCCAGAAGAGGCAAATCTACGGAGACAGTCAGTTAGTGGTTGCCAGGACTGGGAAGTTGGTGGGAGGACTGGAGGGGGTGGTGATAGCTAAAGCATACAGTGGTTTGTAACAGGCCCTGCTTCTGGGGTGCTCAAAGTGGGCTGACTGAAGTCAACCGTAGTGATCTCAAGGTAACAAAAGCCAAGTTATCACAATTTTCCTTGTCTAGGAAGAAATGCAGAAACAGTCTTGTAGACACAGCCTCCCCCCACAGATATCCAGATAGCTCAGGGGCCTCAGTTTCCCCTTTTTCTGCCTCTGTGCATTGGCATGCAGGATGGAAAGTGCCAAATGAGTGACAGGAGGTTGTAGAGTGTCCTTTCTCCTGCAGCTGCTCGAGAGAATGCATTCTGGGGTGGAGGAAGGAGCAGGTGAAGGTGGGGGGGGGGCGGTCGGCATTCACGGCTTTTTGTTTTTCCCAGGATGGCCAATCGAATCATGCCCCACATGCAGATAGAAGGCCATTATTCATTATTCTCCTGTGACCTTATGTCTAGAATCGTGCTGTCCAGTAGGATGTTCTATCATGATGGGAATGTTCTGGGGTGACCACTAGCTTCTTGTGGCTACTGAGTACATGAAATATGCAGCCAAGGAATGGGATCTTTAAATAGAATCTATTTAATATAGCTACTAAATAGAATTAAAAATCTAATTAAAAATGATCAAAATTTTATACATCCAGGATGGTATATAAAATGTATATGTAATTATTTTATGTAAGATAAATATATTTATGCAATTGTGATATATAATATTCCTGTCATCATATACAATATTCTATATTATAATTAAACATTTAATTATTTCTATGTATATATACACAGACATTTTTCATGCAACACAAGAGTCATCATTTTAAAAGGTACAGCTGCATGGTTTTTAGTGTGTCGAGAGAGTTGTGCAAGCACCACCGCTTATCCAGTTCTGGAACATTCTCACCCTCTCAGAAGAAGCCCTGTACCCACTAGCCAGCATTCCCATTTTCCACTCCTCCAGGCCCCGGGCAACCACGAATCCAATCTCTGTATGGATTCGCCTGTCCTGGACATTTCCTATAAATGGAAGCATAGACCTTTTGTGCCTGGCCTCTTTCACTTTGCAGGCTTTCAAGGCTCATCCATTGTGTAGCCGGTGTCAGTGTTTCATTCTTTTCATGACTGAATCATATTCCATTTATCTAGACATACCATCTTCACTTATTCATTCATCCTGTTGAATGTGAATTCATTTACATCGGCATTTAAATAGCACACGGGGCTAGCGGCTTCTATATTGGTCAGTGAAGATCTAGCACAAGAGGGAGAAGCTTGTCCAAGTAGACAAATTGGAGACCTGAGTTCCAGGGCGAGGCACGGACCCCTGGTGTGGCTAGCCAACTTTATGTTTTTGGTCTACTTGTCTACTAAATGTGAGGGAGGGACGAATTCCTCCCAGCTCTGAAATCCCAAGACTACAGTTTTTTTTTTTTTTTTTTATAGACGAACTCCCTATCCATAATGCAGGGGGTTAGATTCTGGGTGGAGAATGTGTGTTTTAAGACCACCCAAACTCATCTGAGCTGTTGAAAGCTGTATCCTGGCTGGATACATGGGGGAAATATTGGGGCTTCTCTCAAGTGTGTTCTATTTCTGATGGTGTAGGTACTCCGTCTTTGGAGATCTTAGGGGGCATGACTTCTCCCCTTAGGTCTCTGAGATCTGGGCCGGTGGTTACCTTGAAGACCTTCTTGGCCCAGGTCCTGAAAGCCTCTTCTTGCCCACAGAGCTCATCCCCTTCCCTCATCTTCAGGATCCTCTCTCCTCCCAGCTCCTCTAAGAGGGTGTCCACGGCATGTCCAAAGGCGCAGAAATGAGGGTAAGCCCGGGAGCCAAGGCCAAAGACAGAGAACCTGCCAAGGAGACAACAAAAGGTCCATGCTAGAGAACTGTGGGGCATGAGGGGGTGTCTGGTATTATGGATCCTATGTCCCCTCCACCAAATTCATATCTTGAAATCCTAACCCCCAACGTGGCTGTATTTGGAGATGGCACCTTTAAGGTGGTAACTGAGGTTAAATGGTGTCGTAAGGTTGGGCCCTAGTCCAATTGGATTTATGTCCTTAGAAAAGACACCAACATCACTTTCTCACTCTGATGGTGCAGAGAGGAGAGGCTATGTGAGGGCACAGCAAGAACGTGGCCATCTATCTGCAAGCCAGCAAGAGAGGCCTCACCAGAAACCAATCCTAATGGCACTTTGATCTTGGACCTCCAGCCTCTAGAACTGTGAGGAAATGACTATCTGTTGTTGAAACCACCCACTCTGGTATCTTGTTATGGTGGCCTGAGCAGACCCTGACATCTGGTTGTTTCTAGAAGGACTGCGTTTAGCCCATGGTGGTCAGACAGCCCTGAGCCCACCTGGGGAGAGCCATTTTAAAGTCTGGGAGCCCTTGGGGCCTCTTCTCCTTCCCTTCTGGTCTCTGTTAGGTGTGACCATCCTCAGGAGAAAATTCCCAGTGGTCCTGGGATGAGTTAGGGATAGCGATGACCCAGAACCACTGGCTTGTTTCTTGTGTGTCCCGTTCTAAGCCAGAGAAATTAGTCTACTTTTTTGGGAAGACTTGAATTCTATCACTGACACAACCAGATGAGTTTTAAGTATAAAGATAATGAAAATCATAACACAGCTGTCCTTGGGGACCTATATCAACAAGGAGATCAGAAGGACTTGTCATTCGATGGACTCTGAAAAACAAACTGAGGGTTCTAGAGGGGAGGAGGGTAGGGGGATGGGTTAGCCTGGTGATGGGTATTAAAGAGGGCACGTTCTGCGTGGAGCACTGGGTGTTATGCACAAACAATGAATCATGGAACACTACATCAAGAAGTAATGATGTAATGTGTGGTGATTAACATAACAATAAAAAATTAAAAAAAAAGAAGGACTTGTCATTAACACATCAAATGTTCACTGTATGTTAACTAACTGGAATTAAAAACAAAAACTTAAAAAAAAAACCCCACATCAAATGTTGGTGGGTAAACACATTCTTCTAAAAGGGGATGAAAGGTTTATAAATATGCTGACTCCACCCCTTGCGATGTCTATGAAACTAATTTGTTTTGCAAACCCTTTTTGCCTAGATACCACCAAGAAAACATGGGCGTTTGAATCAGTGGGGGTCAAGTTAATGAGATTTTCCTCTCTGTTAAGGTGGGCTGCCTTGACTGAGTACGAGATGGGAAGGGCTGTGTCTCAGATGGCCACTCTTGCTAGTTGACTGTCCTAGAGACACTTTATGTCACACTTTCAGGGCTCGGTCCTGGCTGTGGGTCTCAACCTCACTGGGACCAGAGCGACAGGTTGGTAAGTGGGACAGGAACACCGCACCCTACTTCTTTCCTAGGTTGGAGTTTTCTGCCCTAGACTGTCATCCCAGACAAGCCCAGGCATGGAGCTGGATAAGCTATTCCACGCTGGCTCTGGTTCTGCATCTGAATCTCTTTGTTTAGGATGAAGGGGTCAAGTTGGCCAAAGATTGAGATGGGGGATGCGCGGAAGGTGGAGGGAGAGCTGGAAGGGACTCCCACTCTCTCTGTCATTGGAGAATGCACTTGAGATGGGTCCAGGCATCTCGTCGATCAAGTGAGGGTTAGCTGAAGTTAACATCTGTCCTTGGACACCTACCCACATGCTTTCTCACTGAGCCTTTTGTCCTTTCCTGTCTTTCCTTCCTCTGGGCTTGTAGAGCCTTTCCAAGGAAAGTATGTGGGATTAGGCAGTGTTACCCCCCATCCCTCCTTCACCCGTGATCTTCCTAGAGCTGGATCCCTGTCCTCTTCCTCCAAGGGCAGTGGTGTGACAGGTAGGAGGGCTGGTAACCAGGAGCGGACTCGTTGGAGGGGGCTGGGAAGGAGCACTTTTGCCCCAAGCCCTGCCCCTTAGCTTCAGCCCAATGGAGATCGGAAATTCCAAGCACCAGTCATGACTTGTGGTTACAGCGTTTTTTCCTCAAACATGCAATATTTATGTTCACGGCATCAGCCGTACGTGACTTCCATTGATACTATTGTTTCCTTATGACTACTGTTTAACTTGCTTTTAATTTGTACTCGCTAGCTTATCAAACCCACTTGTTTTCACTAACAGATGGCTCAGGTGATTCATTCATTAGTATGTTTTCTGGTACACCGGAAGACCCGCATCCCAGTTACTTCCTAGACTCACGTTTCCACCACGATCTTCACTTCATGATTTCAAACTTCCCATTGTAAGCCTCCAAACCAGGAACTGGCAAACTTATACATGGGGCTAGAGAGTAAATATTTTTAGGTTTCTAGGCCAAGAAGCAAAATTGAAGCTATTATGTACACCCTTACATAACAGACAGAAAACAAATTCCTGCACATTTTTGTTGAGAAAATAAAAATAAAAAAAATTATTATTACAGTTATTGAGGATAATGTTTTAGTACTATGTCTACTTATGAGGCTAGAATTCCTTTTTCTGGGGGGGGGAGATAGCGTTTTGCTGAATTGAGATTCAACGGTAATGTCTCCTATCATCAAGGGAGTTGCAAATGTTCAACTATAAAAACCATTCCCAGCTCACGGGTTGTGCAAGAGTACAGAGTGGCCGGGCTAAATGCACCTGCAGGCTGTAGCCTGCCAATGCCTGCCCGAAGCCATGATAGATTTAATATGGAAAAAATGGGTCTGGCTCTCAAAGTATAAAACTGATGTTCAATGTCAAGCTAAAACAACGCACCGATGTCAAACCCCACAGAATGAATAACACCCAGGGTGAACCCTAATATAAATTATGCACTTTGTGTGATAATGATGTGTCAGTGTAGGTTCATCCGCTGTACAAATGTACCACTCTGGATGGAGATGGTGGTGGTGGGGGAGGCTGTTTTTGTTGGGGGCTGGGCAGGGAGTATAAGGGAAATCTCTGTATCTTCGTCTCAGTTTTGCTGGGAACCTAAAGCTGCTCTAAAAAAATAAAGTCTATTAAAAAGGGCACCGCTGGACATAAAACTTCAATATCTAGGACCCCTGTGATGTGAATCCTCTACCAAGCATTGCTGTGAGCAGGTACGAGAAGGTTCAGTTGGCAAAGGTCACGAAGATTTGTGGCCAGGCCCGGATACTGGGCTTACATTAGCCTTGTGTTGACTAACATCGGCAAAATCAAGGATGTGACATCCAGTTTTCTTTCTTTCTAAGTGCTCACTGAACTCAATTCACAACTGTTGAAATGCAAAATATCTGTCCGTGTTCTACCTAAAATGACCTCTTGGTATGTGACCACTGTACTTTGGTAAACATGGGATTGGGCCAATATTTTTGAATCTGACTGTACATTAGAGTCACTTGAGGAAATTCAGAAAATAAAAGGCAATGCTTGGTCCCAGTTCTAGACCAATTACATCAGAATCTCTGGAAATGGGGCTTGGTTACTGGTATATTGCAAACATCTCCAGATGATTTTGATGTGCATTCAGGGTTGAGAGCCGCTGGGGCATGAGCATCCAGGGTTGAGAGCAGGGTGTCTCCAGAAGCTTCTATTAGGTGTAAAACATATCACCATGAAGGGTAGTTCATTGAGTAGTTTCTAGGGATTAACATCCTTCAGAGCACATGATATGCTGATGATGGGGTGAGATTTGGGCAATGGAGCTCCGAGAGTGTGTTTAGGAAGAGGTCACAGGACAGCCCAGCTAGTGTGCTTTAACAGCGAGGGGGGAGTCTCCAGACAATGAGAGTGCAGCTGGTTACTCATGAGATGGATGGGAATAGAAGGGAGACCCCCTAACAAAGAGCCCACTTTGCAACTGAATCCAGTTCACCAAGATGTCTTCCCTGATGCCCCCAGCCCCTGCTCACCTCACGTTTGCCAGGGGCCCGGCACTCTCAAAGTTGTCTCTGAGGTCTGGCCCATCGCCCGATGATTTATGGGAGTCAGAATATGAGGAAACGCTATTGAATCGGACCTTGTAGCTCCTGCCAAAACAGAAGAGAGACTGTGAGCTCTGGCTTGGAAACCCTCTTGAGCTCAATACCCCAAAGGATCTTCAAATGACCAGTCCCGTTTCTAGGACTTTCTCTTGCATGTTGAGACCATAAGGCTTCTATGGACTCTTCCAGAATGGATCAACTTACCTTCATCCATTGTGATGATAGCTAGCCATCTGTACATGACACCACTTGTATTTAAAATGTTTCTGACCACACTCGACTCAGGAATCTTGAGAGCAAGATGGTCAAAATGATTTAGTGGGCAAAAAGTCACGAATAGAACAGACCATCCCCTAACCATTAGACCACACTTCCTTGCTTCCCAAATTGTAACGAGCACATGAATCATCCTGGGATGCTGTTAAAGAACAGATTCTGATTCAGCAGATCCAGGCAGGGTCTGAGGTTCTGCATTTCTAAGAAGTACCCAAGAGATGCCAATGCCGCCCATCCCCAGACCTCACTCCGGGTAGCCAGGAACTAACTTGTGCTGTCCGCTATGGTAGCTCTGTGTATCTATTGAAATGTAAAGTTAAATGGATTCAAAAGAAATACAGTTAAAAATTCTGTTCCTCATTTGCACTAGCCATGTGTCAAGTGCTCAGGAGCCACATGGCGCTAGTGGCTGCCATATTGGATAGCACAGCTATAGAACATTTACGCCACCCTAGAAAGTTTTATTGGATTGTGCCGGACAACTCCCATTCAATACTCTCTCCATCAGGTTATGGACCTTGGACATTTCAAGGAGCTGTCACCTTTCCCATTTCAAGGAAATAGTGGAAAATGTTCAGCACTGAGACGTGGCACGAAAGGAGATTGAATTTCTTATTAAACTCTTTTGAAGGGGAAGGAAGATGTCACTGGGATGGAAACCCCAGCACGAGAGGCTCGGGAGCCTTGAGACTTCAAAGAAAGATCCGGTTTCCCTGTTCTCCTCCAAAAGTGGGAAGTGTTGTTCTCAGGCAAAGCAAAAAAAAAAAACAAAACATAAAACAAAACAAAATCCCAAGACAAGAAAGCAAAACAAAACAACTCCCCACAAACAAAAGATCAACACCCAAACCAAAACAAACGACTCAACAGACAAATCTGAGTGCAAAAGACAAAAAAAGGCATTGCGCATTCTGGCAGGCAGGGCTTCTGAGCTGGACGTTCTTCAAAGTTTTCGTTCCAGCATCAGGAAAAGTTCTAAATATATGTAAGTGTATTTTCTGCCCTAAAATAGTCTCACATTGAGTCATTTCTGCAAATAAGTCATGCAACATATCAGGGGGCGGCTGTGTTGTTAGTGTGGGAGGGATGGTTAATGCTTGTGGGTTAAAAATAACAGCACATGTATTTGTATGAGGTTTGAGGCTTTTCCAAATGCTTTCCTCTTTGTTTTTATCCTTTGATCCTCTCAACAACTCCCAGGGGTGGTTGGGGCAGAGCCGGTTTCTCCCCATTTGGCAGATGAGAAAGACTGAGGTCCAGAGAGGTCAAATGCCTTGCTCAAGGTTGCTTGGTGAGTTAGTGGTACAGCCTGGTTTAGGACTCAGGTCTCCTTGAGACTCAGATGTGGCCTTGGATGCTTGCACATTGGGCACACACACCCGCATGCATACATGAACACGAGGCATACATATGGGCACACGCGTGCATGAACATGTGTGCACACAGACGGGCACACCCCCACATGCACACACGCACACACACTCTACCTCTGCTGGCTGTCACGGGTTGCAGCCAGACTGCGGACTCCTGGGTCACCTTGGGGGAGGGGAGGCCCTTTACGGGGAAAGAAACGCAAGGGTTCCGGGTACCTAGAGGGGAGAACGGATGGTGCCCTCTCTCTCCCTGAAGGAGAGGTGAGGGGGAGCCTGTGGTGGTCACCTGGGAAGGAGAGGGGCAGGGAGAGCGAGGACAAAGATGGCTGGGCAGGAGGGACGCAGCTACCCCTTGGATATGGAACGTACGTAAGCTGGGCAACAGGTGCCTTGCTAAGGAGAAGTGTTGGTCTCCCAAAAAGACAGCTCAGCATGCATGCGCCCTCTGTTCTTTGCTTTATGCGGGACTTACAAGCTTTGCAAGGGTACTCATGATTACAGGTCACCTTACGAAATATCTTTAGAACCCAACCCCCCATTGGGACGCAGTTTCACCATGAATATCTTTTGGCTACAGGCTGGTTTTTTTTTTTTTTTTTTTTTTGCTTTGTAAGGTATTTTATCTTCTGAACTCAACCTCTATGTTAGCTAGAATTCCACCACGAGTGTCCAATGGAACGGTTCTAGGGAAAGAAGCTCATTTTCACTGATTTCGAACGTAGGTTTCCAAAGAGGAGAGATAATAAGAACTGGTGTTTACACTTAGGGGCTCCTGAGTTTTCACAAGATGCTTACATCTATTTACTCCCTTGGTTCTTACAAGTTAAGAAGTTAAGGCAGGTATAACCAGCCCTATTTGATGGAAAAAGAAACTGAGGCATGGGTCAGTGAAGTCACCCAAGGAGCCAAAACATCAGCCCCAGTGGACCCCAGACATCTACCAGGTAACATTGCTCACGAGTGGAGCTTAGATCACAAAAACCAGCCAGTACTCGAATGTGAACCCCAGATGCCAAAAGACAATCTCCAGTTACTCCCCGAGTATGTAATGTGACCCTGGATATTCACTTACTTCCTTTCCTCGTGCATAGAGTTGGGGTGCCTCATTTCCATCAAAGCACAGCCAAATTTCTGGAAGCCAAAAGAGATGAGTGAAATGTGAGGCAGAGATTTAGGAACCCGGAACAGGGTCGGGCACTGAGCGTCTGGAGTCCTGGCTGGCACAAGTGGAGCCTGATGCCTCCGGGGGCCAGGATGCTAGACACGGTCAGGGGTTCGGGCTGGGCAGCAGCGCTTGAGCTGCAGGTGCGTGTGGAAGGACCCACTGATTAAGTGACTACAGGGGTGGTGCTGCCACCCCCAGCCCACACATCCCCACTGTGGCTTTCTCTTTATAAAAATATTGTCCCCACTTCTCTCATCTGGAGCAGGGGATGCCAAGGTCCTGATGGGAGCATCCATCCCAAAGCAGGAGCTCACTCGGGTGACAGCATTTTCACTAAGGATTGGCTAATCAGTGGACACCAAAACACTGAGGTCTTGGAATTGTCCAATCTTTGTGGAACTTGGATCCAAATCGAAGTCATGGGCTTTTGACGCTCTGGGAGGATTTGCTGCTGACTGGCAGGTGTTAACTGCTGTCCCTCCTTCTTGCCCCTAGTGGAGAACATGCTAGAACAGGTGGAAGCTCATCTTACCTCCCCATTCTCAGGGGGGTCTCCATTGCCAAAAGTGCTGGTAACCACCAGGACCAGAGTTTCATGTTCCAGATGTACAATGTCATATTCTTCCATGGACATCACCTAGGTGGGTGAGGGTGAAGGAACAGGCAGGGGGGGAGGGAGAGGAAGGGAGAAGGTGACAAGGAGAAGAGTTAAGAGAGAACAAAAAAGTGATGGGGAAAGGAGAAGAAGAGAGACAGAGGAAAAACATGAGTCATCTTGAGCCATCTCCTTTGGAAGGAGAACCAAAAGTTCTGGGTGTCACTATTTCAAGGGTAGAACTAAAAGCTTTTTGGCAGTGTGGGACCTTTCTATGGTCACAGTGGCCTGAAGGACCATAAAGAACCTGGGGGCGATGGTGAAAGGGGTTGGCCTCCTAATAGAGATGGATCTCGATGGAGATCCTTGGGCTTATAACCAACTGATCTTGGAATCTTCTTGACCACATTTAGGCTGGGAATGGCCCGGCTGGCTCTGACCAGGTCTGCTCAGCCTCCTTGCTAATCCTCCCTCCACCAGCATGGGACCTGGGCCAACTAAGTCTGAGACCCTTGTCATAAAGAAGATTATTGTCCTATATCTTAGCATCTCTTGAACAACATTTCTCCAAGTAGGTTCTGGGGAAGCCCAGTCTCCTGAGAGGCTCCTTGAAAATAAGTGAGCCATGAACAAACATGCTTATATTCTAACCCCTTCTCATTTGGAGATTAGAATACAGTGGACCTTGAACAACATGGCTTATATTCTAACCCCTTCTCATTTGGAGATTAGAATACAGTGAACCTTGAACAACAATAAGTGGGTCCACTTATTCGTGGATTTTTTTCCAATAAATACAGTATAGTACTGTCAATGCATTTTCTCTTCCTTCTGGTTTTCTTAACATTTTCCTTTCTCTGGCGTCCTTTACTGTTAGAATACAGTATATAATACATACAACATACAAAATATGTTAATCAACTGTTCGTGTTATCAGTCAGGCTTCTGGTCAACAATAGGCTAGTAGCAGTTAAGTTTGGAGGAGTCAAAAGATATATGCAGATTTTCAGCACCCCTGACTCCCATGTGTTCAACTGTATGGACTTGCAAATTGAAGGCTCTGATATTGAACTGTGTTTAATGCAGGGCTTCCCAAACTGACCCCAGAATGTTTCCTCATAAACCCTCTAAGATTTGGCTCTGAGATGGAGTTTCATTTTGTGATTCCTGGACTCTCCTGGAAGGTCATGGAAAGAAGGGCATCAAAGTCCCTTGCAATTTATATGAATATGCATGTGCATGCCAATGGGCACCTTGGGGTGTGCTTCCATCCATCCTCAAAGGTTCTTCTCTGTTGACTTCCCTCTCTCCCCTTCCCAGCTGTATATTTACCATGAAGAAGCAGGGATCTGGCACTGCCCCATACCCACCTTGGCATCAAAGGCGTGTTTGAAGATCTCGCACAAGGTTTTAGCATAGGCCTGCGACTTGCCTGTCTCTGTGGCATAAAGGATGGTTGCCTTGACCCTCTTGGCCATTGCCTGCCCCATGAGCTTGGCCGAGAACTTGACAGCTCTGGGGAGAAGAGGATGGAGAGGAAAATGGGAAATGTAGAAAGGAGGGGAGATGCCAGACTGGGGCTTTTGGGCAAGAACCATGATCCTTGAAATGTAGTGGGAGAGAACTTTCTCTCTTGATCTTTGATGGTTTCAGGGACACTAGAAGCCTGAATTTAGCACCATATTGACCCCTTTATTAAATCCCTCCAGAGCAACTATTCATGAGCTAACACGGTTGGTTAGTTTTGTTAATTTGTTGCTTGGTTGACCAATCCCAGTCTTGAGAACCTTGGTTTGCCAAGCATGGTCCCCAAAGATGATCATTCATTCATTCATTCATTCATCTAACATTTGTTGGGTGCTGAATCATGTGCCAGGCATAGTTACAGGAGCTGAAGAACATAGACAGCTATCTGTCATGGAGCTTACATTCTAGTGTGTATGTGTGTGTGTGTGTGTGTGTGTGTGTGTGTGAGAGAGAGAGAGAGAGAGAGAGAGAGAGAGAGAATATCATTAATAAATCACCAGGTATTGAGTTAGAAGGAATCTTAGAGGTTTATAAATCCATGAAGGAAGGACTAAATCAGGCTTCATCTTCAGGGTCTTGCACAGAGCCTGATAGCTAATAGGCACTAAATAAATACCCATCAAAAGAGGGAATGAATTTTAAAGATGCTGTTCTCACTGAATCCCTGGGGAGTTTAAATATCAAGTCTAGGCTCTTTCCAGCTAAATGGAAAATTCAGAACCAGGGTTCCTTCCTTCCTGTCAATGAGGGCGTGGGGGTGGCAGACAGGCAGAGGCCCAGGAATGCCTGGGCTCACCTTCTGAGCCAGCATCCCTGGTCTAACGAGGGACCTCAGAGAAGACAAATTGCTAATTACTCCCATCTGGGGATAATTGGTGGTAAATTCATTTTTTTGAGAATCAGGGAAACCACCCACGGTGCAATCCGAGCTCAGGGGGAGAAACAGAAAAGAATAAAAGGTGTCTGGAGGATTCCCTTTGAATGATTGGAGCATAAAAAAGCATCTATAATTAACTACCATTGTTTCCACCCCACACTTAATAGTGCAATTAATGTTTTAGATTTCTTCCTCCCTTTTCTCCCCGAAACAGTTGAACTGAACTGAAGCCCAAGGCTGCCCTCCCCGAGAATATCTGTGATTCTCTTGTTAGGGAAAAAAAATGGTTGCTGATGTGTTCTTGTGTGGCTGGAAGATGGGGTTAGGTGGAAGGAGAGAGGTGGCATGAGCCATGTTAATGGAACAAGGACCTAGGTCTGGAGTCCCTGAAGGACCCACCGGTGCCTTGCTTCTGGGGTTTGTGGCATGGCTGGTGTCTGTTGTCCCTCTAGGGATTGTACGCAGAGAGTTCTGGACCTGAGGGTGCAGATGGAAGAGTCGCTCAGTGCGCACCCAGAGCCTCTGCCGAAAGGTTATCCCCATTAGATCATCTCGGTCAGCCCCACCTCACTCGTCAGCGGGTTCCTTGGTTGGCCACACACCCTTCAAGAATCACTGCTCTTCAGTGGCTTGGCCCATAACCTCTTTCTCTCCCTTCTTTGCTCAGTTAAGTCTATTCATCTCATTCTTTAGCCCAATTGTCATCTTCCGAAGGAAGCCCTCTCTGACCTCCCAAACTCGGTTAGCTCTGTTTACGGCACCATGAATCACTCCTCGACAGCACTTGCAATGTTTACCGTATTTGTGTGATTCTTGGAAAATGAATGGCTGTGAGCTTTGACAGAAACAACATCGATCTGGCTCATCAGGCATCGCTGGAGCCTAGCACAGTGCCCGGCACAAGGTAGGCCCTCGGTATTCATTTGTTGGCCAAATGAATGAATGAATGAATGAATGAGTGTTGTTAGAGTTCAGCCCTGGGTGAGAGTCCTCTTGAGTTGGCTCATCCCAGTTCCTCCCACCTCTGGGTTCAGTGACTTCCTTGTAAGTAGCTTGAAATTGGCCACAGTGGGAGTATTTATACCATGGAAATTGGCAAATGTTACAAATTTATTATTATTATTAACAGTACCATTGTTATTATTTTTAGGAGACCTGGTTTACCAACATGCCATTGCCTCCAAGACAAGAATTTAGGACACCGAGGTGAGGTTGGGAAAGAAAAAAGTTGAAGCAACCTCCACATCTCCGACCCTGAGGCAAAGAAGGTGTGAGGGCGTCAGAGAAGATGAAGTCACATCACATCACATGAGGGGTCAGAGGCACAAGCATTGCCCAGCCTCCTCTTCCTGGGGCTCTCTGGGTTTGGAGGCACTTCTATCCCCCACCTACTTCAGGAGACTTACTCTGCCAGCTTCTTGAAGCCGATGGCTCGCCGCTTTGTGGGAGTCCCATTGGTACCCTTCCAGACGTGGGTGTTCCAAGGCTCAGGCTGGGAAGAGAGGACTATGGTCACTGTAGTGAGGAAGTCTAGCTCCTCTTGGGGGACACTCAGGACTTCCTGGGTGCTTGTGGCTGCCCAGCTTTGTCCAACCCTCGGCCCTTGAAGGGACTGATTCTGCTGCTGGTGACCCCAGGGGTCCTTGCACAGAGTAGCTGGTCCAGTCTCCCTGCATTGTCCTGCTAGACCTTTCCACTCAGCCCTTAATCCCTCTCAAACACTCTCCTGGGGGACCCCAGTAGTCTTTGAGCTAGAGCTGTGCTGGCCAACAGGGTAGCCGCCAGCCACATTGGCTATGGAGCACTTGAGTGCCCAAAGAGTAAGTCTGAATTCAGACATGCTTGAAGCAAAACATGCATCCCAAATATTGAAGATTTAGCACCGAAGAGGCAGGGAGGGGCAGGACCTGGTATTCGAAGGAGGGGGTGAGCCGGTAGTTGAGCATCTCCTGGTGGAAGACCGGGGTGATGCTGCCAGACATGGGGGGCACAATCCACACCCAGTCCGCGGGGCAGCCCCCCCGGCAGCGGTATTCATTCTCCATGTGCTTAATGAAGGACTCGGTGGCAGAGTGGTGGTCAACAATGGTCACTTTGTCACTCTGTGGGAGGAGAGGGGACAGGGAGTCAGGAGGGAAAAGAGACTGGGGTATTTCGGGACTCTGCTCCCCATCGAGCAGCGTTTCCCAGAGGGTGGTCCCGGAGATGATGTTAGGCGGTTTAAAGTGATTCTCTGCATTTCCCTCTCAATTACACCCAGGGGAGAGTCTCCTTTTGGTGCTAACCCATTTTCAACGCCTCTCTTGCCAATTTTCCTCTCTCCTTCCTCCCTCTCCCCCTCTTTTTCACCAGAGAGAGGAACCTCAGGCAGCACTGAGCTAGAATTTAACAACTCTGTATTGTTTTCCTTGTGTTTATTTGTTTATTAATTTATTTAATATTATAATTATCTTCTATTTATGGCAACTGATGCTGACCCTTCATTTATGGTGCTGATATAAAATCCTCTTAAAATAAAAATTTTTAAGTACTCAGGAGGAGTTTATTAAAATTAAAACACAGAAATTGCTGTAGAGGAGGGTGGACTGCATATCTGCGTAACCAGTCCCCAGGGCCCGTGCTCGTTGGCTGGTCTGGATTCACACCTTGTCTAAACAGTGCTTTCCCTCTCTGCCCACAAACCCTTGCCCCTTTCTGCATCTTCCTTCCTCAGTCACTCACCCCACTCACATCTCTCTTATCTCTGGCTCCCTGGTCTTCATGTCATTCGCCCAGTCCACAAACTACGCTCCATCCTTCTCAACGACTCCCGAAAACCTCACTCCCCCACACTTGAGACAGAAGAGGGGACTTCCTTCCCCCTCATTCCATCTCAACCTGTCTCTTCCCTGGTATATTCCTCCATGTGTCCCTTCTCCCTACGCCTGACATTGGGGCCCACGGTCCGTATTCATGTCTATCCATGACTTGATCCGTTCATTCTACTGTATGTGCTTTCCATGGATGTCTAGAAGGGCCTAGCTTCCCAGACTCTCAACCCCCAGAGGATAGAGCTGGTCTCTGTTACAGAGAGGGATCTCTATTCTATAGTCTACTACAGACTTCTGCCCGGGAGAATACCAGCTAATGCCTGCCACCCTGGCATAATTATTAGCGGTGTCTTCCTTTTGCTCTCAAATTATCATGATTTAGATAATAAATTCTACAGCCATCCTATGTAATACCACCTACCACAGAGCCACACACTGAGTGGGCCGATATGCTTCTGATAATGAAGATGGGTATTCATGTCTGTTATGTGATAGTCTGAACCCCCAAGAGGTGGAAAGACACAGAGGATGCCTGCCATCCCAATTCTAATTCAACAAGTCCCAATGCCCCTCCCCCATCTATTCATCTCTTCCTCAAACGGTCTCCACCTAAGATCCAAAGTGGAGACCAAGGCATGTATGCTGGGACGTAGACCTTGCTGGCGGACAAATCCCCCCGCCCCAGGTAGCAAAGTCTCTTGACCTTGGGCTCCAAGCGTGGGAAGGTTTTATAGCTCCCCCTGGAGACTAGACAACCAGGATGTGTGCCTTGTGCTACCTGGAAGCTGTAGAGAACAGCAATGTTGATTTCCACCAGTGCCTGGTCCTTCCACAGGGAGGACGTCTTCCTCATGTCCAAGTTCATCTTCTTGGCCACTTCCTGAAAAAGGAAGGAAACGCAGACTCACAGGCTAGGCCACCTCTGGAGAGACAGGGCTAGCTAGTGTCACCAATGAACTTCTTCACTAATTATTCAACTCCCTTCCAGACTGACAAAGTCACTCAAAAGACTTTTCTATTGAGAATCCACTGGTAGCAGAAAAACCAGAAAGACTTGGGTGGCCCTTTTATTTTTGAGCTTACCTTCTAGTTGGGGAGAGAGACAGTTAATATTGTGATAAGTGCTAATTCCTAGGGAGAAAAAAAGACAAGGAAAGGAGATTAAGAGGGATGGGGGGCCGGATTGAGCCAGGATAGTCAGGGAAGACCAACTGTGGAGGTAGCATATCAGGTGAGACCCAGACGATGAGAAGAAGCAAGGTATCTGCAGGTGTGCAGAGGGAAGGTGCTAGGCAGAGAGAACAGCAGGTGCAAATACCCTGAGGTGGGATCAGGCTTGCACCGTCTGAGATATAGAAAGAAGACCAGTGTATTTGAAGGGCGGGGGGCAGTGAGCCAGGGGAATTGGTGGGAGAGAGAGGCAGGACTGGATCATGCAGGATTTGGGATAAGCCTAGGAGTCAGGATTTCATTCCAAATATCACGGAGAGGGTCTTTGGAGGGTTTTAAGCAGAAGAGTGGGTCTGGAAGTGGCATCATCTGCTTTCTAGAAGGAAAAGCTCTCCACCGATCCTGCTCCACACCTAGAGTAGCCATACTTGGGATCCAGACCATGGGTGCTTTGAGCTCAGGGGGACACCTGCCCGCGTCTGTCTGACAGATAAGGAAACTGAGGCTCAGCAAGGTCCATAGAGCCATTTGGCCTTGGAGCTGGAGCCCAGGCAGACGCATAACATCCAAGACGTGAGAGCAGCTCCCCAGCCAGCACTGGAAACAAACCAACTCCTGACATGTTACAGTTCAAGCTGAACCAGGGGCTGATGTCTGGAGTGGGGAAGACCCAACAGCAAATTCCTTAATTAGAGCCTTGCTTTTCCTTCCTCTGTCAATTCTAGTCACTTGTGGGAGCCCAGGTCTCATTATGGGGCTAGGAGGTGACAATTTCTCAGGTTTGGGTAAACTCCTTCCCAGCCCAGCTGTCAACATTTATACAGAACCGTGGTTGGACCAGGAGGGCTGGCGCGGGAGCGCATCTCATTTAAGATACTCGGGGAGGACTCCCTGCAATCGAAATGTAAGCAGAGATCACGAAAGCAGATCTCATATTAACTCATTCTTTGAAGCTGGGGTGTTAGGTTCTGCTGTGGTCCTTTGGCAGTGACACATCCACAGAGAGAAATAAATTTCCTGCTCTACATAAATACATACAAAACTTGAGTTATTTTATGAGAGAGGAAAGCGTATATAGCCATTATGCTGCTCTTGTCACTTCTACACCATTACTTTGGTTACAAGAATGGAAAGCAGTTGCAGGAAAAAAAAGGACTCTATGATTTTAAAAAAAATCCCCAAATGTGACTTGGGCCACATCTACGGAAATTGCCTGAAATGTCTTTTCCTTTCCTGCCAGAAGTTTGCAGAGATCAATGGCTACCCAGTAGAATCTTCTGGGGAGCTTTGAAAAATGCTGGTATCGAGGCTCTATCCCTGAGCAATTATATCCGAATCCTGGTGAGTGGGATGCAGGCATAATAAAGTTCCCCAGGTAATAATTCCAGTGTGTGGCAAGGCTGAGGACCCCTGGCTTCCATTTCCAAGCTAATAACCATGGGATTTGGGGCATATAACGTTGTCTGAGTTTTAGGTATACAAATTTAAGGCCTTGGTTTGTTTGATACATTTATATATTGCAATATGATTACCACTGTTAGTTAATACCTCCATCATGTCACATAATTATTATTTCTTTTTCCGTGGTGGGAACAATTAAGATCTAGTCTCTTAGCAACTTTGAAGTTTATAATTCAGTATTGTTGACTATAATTACTCTTCTCTGCATTAGATTTCCAGAACTTATTTATCTTTTCGCTGCAAGTTTGTACCCTGAAACATCTCCTCCCTAACTCCCCCACCCACGAGCCCCTGGTAACCAGCATTCTAGTCTCTTTTTATGAGTTTGGTTTTTTTACATTCCACATACAAGCAATATCACACAGCGTTTGTCTTTCTCTGTCTGACTTATCTCACTTAGCATAACGTCTTCAAGGTCTATCCATGTGGACACCCAAGGATTTTATTTTATTATTATTATTTCTAAAGACTTTACTTACTTATTTGAGAGAGAGAGAGAGAACAGACAGACACAGGCAGGGGGAGGGGCAGAGGGAGAGGGAGAAGCAGGTTCCCCATTGACCAGGGAGCCCGACACGGGGCTCAATCCCAGGACCCTGGGATCATGACCGGAGCCGAAGGTAGACGCTTAACTGACTGAGGCAGCCAGGCGCCCCACACCCGTGGATTTTAACAACAGAAACCTAATGCTCAATTCTGAGTTCTAATCTTGCCTTATTTACTGTGTGACATAGGCCCAGTGCTTGACTTCTCTGTTTCTCACGCCTCCGTTTGAAACACAGCCCGCCACACAGTTGTTAGGAATCAGTTGCTGGCAGGACCATAGCTATCCTGATGCGTCTGCCAGATTTGAGCTCCAGACTCCATCCTAGCAGCCTTTAGTAGATGAGGATGACTCAGCCAAGGAGGGAATCAGACCCTCCACTGAGAAATGCATATGTCGGCAAACGGCTGCCAACTCTCCTCCCTTGTTTTTCAGGGAAGAGGCAAGAAACCTTCCGAGTTCATGGGTCATTTTCAAGCCATTCTAATAAGAGGCCGTGTAGCCGGGTGGTTAGGAACTTGGGACTGTAAAGCCAGACTGAGCTCACATCCCCGCTCTGCCACTTGCTAGCTGGCTGACCTTGAGCTTGTCGCTTTAACCTCTGAAAGGTCTCAGCTTCCTCATCTGTGAAACGGGAATTGTCATACCCAGAGGTTGTGCTGGGGATGAAATGAGCACATCATCTATACATGGTGCTTGGCACAGTGCCTAGCCTGTAGCACATGCACTGTTCCCACTGCGGATGCTCTGGGGTGGCTGGGGGCTTCACCAGCAGTGCAGCCTCTGTTCTAACCTCTCCCAGTTTCCAAGACCCAAAGCTCCGCTGTGGGGAAGGACCGATGGGTCCGGCCCCTCTGCCTCCTGCCTGCCCATCATGACGGCCGGGGAGGGACCTCACCTCCAGGATGTTGTATCGAGAGTTGTCACAGTAGTCGCGGACACCGATCTCAGTGCCCATGTACCAGCCGCTGAAGGGGCAGGCGCTGAACTCCAGGCCGCCAATCTCCAGCAGCATGTTGGACACAGCGGGGAGGCCGTACCACTTCAGGCCCAGATCCTTGAACCACTCAAACCTGCGGAGAGCGACACGGCCCAGCTTGCAATGGGGCAGGAGTCTCTCAGGCAGACTGGTGGGCGGGGCAGCCAGAGTCTGGGGGTGTGGAAAGGCCAGCAGCCTCCTGGGACTTGCTATGTCGGCATCTGACCCCTGGGCCCCACTTCAGACCTGTGGGATCTCAGGCTCCATAGCCGGGTCCGATGATATGCATTTTTAACGTGTCTCCCAGGTGATGTGGAGGAACATGCAAGCCTGGGAGCTGCTGCGCTGGGCAGCTATTGATCTCCCAAACCCACTCTGAAAGTTAATCCAGGAGGAAGGGAGTCTTGCCAAATGCTTTCCTACCTCAGGGACTTTGCACAGCAGTTCCTTCCTCCTGGGAGCTTCTCTCTTCCTTCTGTGTCTGTCCAGCCCTTACCCAACCTTTAATTCTCAGCTAAAATGCTGCTTACTCTGGGAAGTCCTCCCTGATGCTCAGTTTAGGTTGGGTCAGGTGGCTTGATGACTCTGGGCACCATAAAATTTCTTTTGTAGCACTTTATTGGAATTAAGCGGTTATTTGGGCAATAGTATGTTTAAGTTCTCCTTCTTGGGACCGAAAACACCGTGGAGGCAGAGACCAACTCAGCTACAAAGGCTTGCATAATGGCGGGCCCAGAGCAGGAATCACAAACCATGTTGAAGGAACGCATTAATGAATGGAGGCCAGGTTTCACCAGGAAGACCGGGTGAGTTCCCAGATACTGGGCAGTGTATGAAGCCTCGGGACACTTGTTCCCTCTCCAGGGCTGGGACGAGGGTGAAGTCAGTAAGGCTCTAGCCTTGGGTGCAAAATTTAAGGGGGCTCCAACAAACCCAGTAATTACGACCAGTACTAATTTTCATTTATGTTATATTCTAAACTTACTCCGTGTTTTCCAAACAAAATCAATGCAAAAAAAAAAAATCCACACAAACAAACTATCAAAACTTTAAAGGAAGACAGGCCCCACCTCGCAGGTGCATGGCTCACCTTGCCTGCTTCACCTGAATCTCAGCCCCGCACTGGGTCCTGTCTTTATTTAAAAGTTTCATGTAAAAAAGTTTTTTTTTTCATGTAAAAAAGTTTTAAATTAAATTTTGATAAAATTTTTTGACATACAAATTAATTTTGATAAAAAGATTGCATTAAAAATAATACCTGTCTGGATTATTGAGCTCCCCCCCAACCCCATTTTGCCTCCAAGGTCAATGTCTCCCTATGGATTTCCTTCACTTTCAAAGCGTGAATTCTGCTCATGCTGCGGGCCCAGCCCTTGCAGTTCCTTCCTGGCTCCAAATTCCTTCTGGACTTGACCCACATCAGGTCACGTAGTTTTAAACAGCTCTATTTTAAAATGAGTGCCCACGACAAGACAAGAGGTGCTTCTGCCTTTCTGGAAAGCTGGACAAAGGCTGGAGAAAGGGCAGGTCCTGGCTGATGGCGTAGGAGTGGGGTGAGAAGGGAGATTATGGTTCTGAAGAGATGGTCATCCCCTGGCTGGCCAAGGAGGACTTACTGCTTGGAGGGGGGTGTCCACTGTGAGCAAGGAAGCAAGACCTCCTTTTAGCCTCTTTCTGGGTTGGAGGGAGAGCCAGGGGGTTTAGGGAGAGGCAGAGAGGGGCACTGGGTGAATCCCACCCCCGCCGGCCCCCCCAGTTCCTCTTACTTGGGGTGCCTGATGGGCACTTCCAACACCAGCTCTGGAGGGATCTGGAAGAGCTCAGGGTCGTTGCCATTGGCCTGGAGCAGGAGTGGTAGGACATCGAAGCGGCCCCTTGGGGGTTTCCAGCCCTGCTGCATGCAGATCTGCAACCAGAAGTGACCGTTCACGCCACTACCACTGCTACCGTGCCCCAGACCCTCCAGACACTGGGGCAGCAGGAGAAGGCGCAGAGATCCCAGTGCAAGCTGGCAGGCAGCACCTTCCTCTGGAGGCTCTGGGCCACACTGTTCTTGTCCACCGGGAACTCCCAGAGGGCAAGCGCAGAATCTGACTGTTGTAGCTATAACACCCTTGAGCACAGGGTCTGGTGCGGAATCTGTTGTATCTATAACACCCTTGAGCACAGGGTCTGGCACGTCCTAGGTACTTGCTCTGGAACTGTGTGCATCGGGTACCCTGAGATAGAAAGAAAACCTGGGGCGCCTGAGTGGCTCAGTCGTTAAGCGTCTGCCTTTGGCTCAGGTCATGATCTCAGGGTCCTGGGATTGAGCCCCGCATCGGGCTCCCTGTTCGGCGGGAAGCCTGCTTCTCCCTTTCACACTCCGCCTGCTTGTGTTCCCTCTCTCGCTGTGTCTCTCTCTGTCAAATAAATAAAAATCTTAAAAAAAAAAAAAGAAAAAAGAAAACCTACCACATCTGACAAGGACGGAATTATTAGAATTTGTGCATAAATGCATCAGTCAGAGCAGCTGTCCAATTGAAATATAAAGCAAGCCAATAGGTAATTGAAAACTTTTTAGTAGCTACATTGAAATTTTTTTTAATTTTTATTTTTTTAAAGATTTTATTTATTTGAGAGAGAGAGAGAGAGGGAGAGGGAGAAGCAGACTCCCCACTGAGCAGGGAGCATGACGTGGGGCTCGATCCCAGGATCCTGAGATCATGACCTGAACCGAAAGCCAGACGCTTAACCGACTGAGCCACCCAGGTGCCCCTTTACTAGCTACATTTAAAAAAGTAAAAAAAAAAGCCCAACCAAAAAAAAGGTGAAACAATTTAAATAATATGTTCATTTTAAATAATACATTTTAATTTCAATAATATTTGATTATCAGTTACTAATCATCATAATTATAATATTTATTATAGTGATATTAACTTATTAATATTATATTAAAGTATTGATAGCAACATATTTAACATTAAAGTTAAATATGTAATATGGTTATCCAATAAATATGTCAAATATACAATATATAACAGAATTAAATAATTAAATGTATTAATCATTAATGTCATAATGATAAATTATTAAATACATTAATATTACTATAATAAAAGATATTGAACCTAAATGTTAATACATTTATTAACTCAATAGGTGTATTAATTTTTAATAAACATAATAGAGTAGTCTAACATTATCTACAGTATTATTTCAATATGTAATCAAGATAAAAATTATTAATGAGGTACTTTCCACTCTCTGTTTTGTTCTCAGTCTTCGAGATCCGGTGTGTATATTTACACTTCGGACACACCTCAGTTTGGATTTTTCCAGGGCTCACTAGCCACCCACCCATGGCTGCCACGCTGGACAGAGCAAAACAAGAGGGTTTCAAAAGATCCAGTTACGTGGTTATGTTTGGGGTGATTCTTTCTGTGGTGTCAGTAGGAAGAGGAAGCACGAAATCAGGGGCTTAGGAGAGAACATGTGCTGTTAGCAAGGTTTCTGGAGACAGAAGCAGAGGAGGAGGCCAGGAGGACAAGGTCAGCCAACTATGCAGTTAGCGCTCAGCCAAGTGGAGCCGAGAGTCTGGCTGAGTCGAAATCGGCACAGGTGCAACTCCTGGTCGCCCTGGTTACAGCCCCTTCTTCCCGATAATAACATTTTAATAAGAAAAGCCACATGCAAATGAAGTCAGCAGTAATGAGGGACCGGAGCAACGCTTGATCTTGCCAGCTCTGTCCTGAGGGGTGGCGTTTGAGGAAAGAACAGAGATGAATCTCAGCTGGGGATGAGTGGGTGATAAATAAGAGGGGTGCCGGGCTGTGTGCCCGAGATCATTCTAGGCATGGGTGACCCACAGTGTCTCCTACGGGCACAGGTGCTGTTAAGCTACCGTGCATCACCTATGCTACCTGTCTGCATCCCCACGGATGGGAGATGGTGGTGTTTGCTTTCCTGGTGGCTTTTATGAACTGACTCAGGCTGCCAGAAACTGTGATCGTCTTGGTACAATGCAGAGACGAGCCCATCCAAAGAGAGGCTGGATTGCTAGAACTGGGTGATCGGATGAAGGAATGATAGGAGTCTGCTGTATTACCCAACTCAGAGCAGGTATACTTGTCAGCTTCTCTCCTGCTGGGGGGAGGCAGGAGATTTGGACTGCACTTCCAGCTTTCTCTGTGCTCATTTAGTGGTCTTGGATAACTCACTGGGCTCTGGTGAGACTCAGTCTACTCATCTGTGAAGTGGGACAACAGTTCCTATCATGAGAGCTGGGGGAGGTAATGGCTGCAGATGACCAAATGGCCAGCTGGAAGGGAACCAGCCGGACTGGGGGCAGCCAAAAGGAACAGGAGGTCCAGAGAGGAGTCCATGGTGCCCCTTCTGGCTGCTTTCCCTATGATGATAACATTAAAGTAAGAGATGGCTGTGGATAAAGCCAGGTGGGGGGACTGAGAGCCCAGGCGAGGGCCAGGGGGGCACACACCTCTGTGAATTCCACATTGGCTGGGTCCCCAAGGATGGAGCCGTCGGGCTGCTTGTAGCCGGCGTAGCGGATGAGCTGAGAGTTCCAGACTCGGAAATCATGCTTGCCGTCAGTCCTCTGCGGAAATATGGTGATGGCCGACCTGTGGCAGAGAGAGGGGGACGTGCGGTGTCAGGGCGGGGCTTGCACCTTGCGGACCTATTGGAAAGGGCGTCACCCAGGCCACCCAGTGCGTGAGGCTCAGGGTGGATGACCTCTGTGCCAAGGTCCTCAAGGGACCACGGAGCCGCTGTTGGAAGGGAGGGACCGTGCCCTGTCCCCACACTGGAGCATTGGTCTGAGGAAGGGGGGAGGATGGGAGGCCCCACGCCAGCCCACCGAACAACAGAGACTGCTGCTCTAACTGGAAACTCTTAAACCCCCTTGACTTGGGCCAGTTTCCTAGGGGTTCTTTGGCAGCAGGTGACCTCCAGGGAAACAACATGGGATCCTCCTTCCCTCTAGGAGCCCACCACTGATTCCAGTCTTGCTCTTAACTTCCTTAACTTCTTGCCCCACCTGCGCCCATTCCCAGTACCATACAGAAGTCTACACACTTACAGCTAAGAAGAAATCTTACTGCTTCCTTCGTACTCACATTTATTTACTTTAAATGAAAACTGGAGATCGCCACTGGCCTCGCCTACCTAAACAGGCAACTAGAGAGCGTATACCGTTATTACATTGCAGGAAGGTGCTGTGGTTTGCTGAAGGCACCTAGCTGGGGCCCAGTTCGCTCTGCTAACAGGGAGATCAGCAGCGTTAGAGAGGTGTTAAGGATGTCTTCTCACCGAACTGAGACTTTCTCTTTGGCATCATTAGAAGGATTGAAAACAATGGAAAGGAGAATGACTTCTTTACAACGTGGTTCAATGTGGTCTCATACCAGGAGCACCGGCCACCCCGCTCATCAGTGCCAACCGTGGGCTCAATCCCAGGCTAGGGGAGCCACCACCCTGGCTTGTGTCCGCATGAGGATCACATGGCAGGTCCAGCCCATTGCTTGCAGATCTTCTCCTCTACACATTCTGCCCCTGGAACTTGGCCCTGCTGCCCATGTTGGCAGGAATCCCTCTCTGCTGTCATGTACCCAAATTCAAGGCCTGACTCAGATTCACTTCCTCCACAAAGCATCCCCTGTCTCATCTGTTCCCAGGGCCACCTTCTTTCTGAGCACCTGTGGGTCTCACCGGTTGCGCAAGACTGTATCATATTTAATACTGCAGGGTGACTGCCCCCTCGCCCATTATTGCCTTGTAATAGCACCATTTAGAAACTACCAGAACAGCCCATAAGCTCCTTGAGGGCTGAGACCTTGACTGGGCCCTCCTTTGACGCTCAGGATATACAGGAGGGTTCTTTGATGTTCTCCGAGGGGTAAGGTCTTTCAGGAAAAGATGGAAAGACCAATTCCCCAAGCAGGCTCTAGGCTTATATTACAGGCCCCTTCCCTACTGGTGGGCTCAGCTGGAACAGTGTTTCCTTCTCAAGGAAGGGACACAGCCAAGAAAACCCACGCTTAATGCAAGCAAGCCACTATGGGGATGAGCTCAGTGCAGCCTGGGGTTTGTGGGAATGAATCTCCCTACAGTGGCGCACACGGCCCCACTGTGCGGCTGGTCCTCAGTGGTTGGGACCAGATGCCGGGGCAGAACCAATGGATGGCACAGGATTGACAAGTAGACCTGCCTGGCTGCAGGGCCCCAGCTGTTTCCTTCCAGGTGCAACTTGCCAGCATGGAAGCCACCAGCCCACACCGGTGCCTCCCTGCCTTGGCCTCCTTCCCGGGGCTTTGTTCTTTGTTCGGGGCAAGAGGAATCCAAGCTGTGGCTTGGCTTGGTGGAACCTGAAGGAGCTGTGTCCACAGCGGCAGGAAGAGACATTGTCTTTGAAACCCAGGAAAATTCTAAGGCAGCTCCAGGCCACACAACAGGAGCTGGTACAAGCTGATTACTGCAGCCACTGGGATTTTCCGAGTCCTGGGAATGGGACGCACTCCTTCCTGCCCCCTCCACGGGTTGATACTGAACTGTGGGTTGAACGTGATATTGGCCGCTATGGCTTTGCAAACCACGCAAGAGTCTGTTTCTCCCAGAAGAGACAGGACATGGCAGGTAGAAAAAAGCAGCCAGGCCTCCTCTCCCCGAGAGGAAACGGGGAGCATTTCCTCAGCAGGTGAGCCAACTCCAGACCCTAAGGATCAATGCTTTGGGGACATTAGACTCCCCTCCCGCAAGCTGGCAGGCTCACCTGAGGTTCCCTTTGTTGGTGGCATACTTGATGTGGTTGCATATGTAGTTGAACATCCCATGAGCCGTGGTGCAGTCGCGGGCATCGAACACCTGCCAGGGGTACATGGTGAGAACGGTGCCTTCTCCTCCCCTCCTTGGCTCTCCCAGTGTGGCCTGCCCAGGCAGGGAGAACCTGGAGCCCACTCCACTGCTGCCCCACTTGGGGAGAGAACCCTCCACTAATGAGACCTAGGCTGGGTTTTATAGTGTTTTTTTTTTTTTTTCCTATCCTTATAACCACAGTCATCAAACCAGGAAAAATCCCCTGAAAGCAGGCACGGCGTGTAGGTGCATGTGGTTACAGGATGATGAGTGAAGAAGAGACTTTAGTGGGCTGGATGGATTTCCTGCTAGGTTACTAGGGATCAGGGATTTAAAAACAAAACAAATAACAACCAAACAAAACCCCCTTGAACTTGATAATGAATCTATTTCCAACTTCAAACTACTCCCCAGGGGACAGAGAATCGAATGCTTTCAGGGAGTAGGCAGATAGTATAAATAAGCAAAGAGAGTAGGTGGAAGACAAAAGGGAGTGGTGGGGTCTGTGGTAAACTGGAGAGCATAAACCTTACCAAGAGACATGCAAGTTCCTTTTTAAATAGCACTGTGTTGGCTCAATGAGACATGACTATAAGGCAGATTCAGTCATGATCTGAGAATCTGGGACGCCATGACCACTATCTGATATCTCACCATGCCTTCCGGATGCCCTTGGAAAGAGCTGACCCTTTGTAAGGCTCATCCCTCCCCACCCACCAAAGAGCCTTACCGCCTACCTGCAGCTTGGACCACTGGATCCTGCCAACGCAGCGGGACGCGTTCCGCCAGGCGTGCTTCGCCCCATAGATGAGCTCCGTGTCTTTGAGCTGGTAGGTGCCGCTGGTTTCGATCTCTTTGTTCACCTCTTCCAGCCTCTCTGTGTGGGCTTTGGAGCCAAATCTGAGTGAGGAAGGACAGGACATGGGATTGTCACCTTCTCTCCTGAATTAGGGGTCAGTGGAAGGAGCGAGCCATTCCAGGAGGGCAGAAGCCACAGCAAGTCTGAGTTGGTATGTGGCCACAATAGTTCAAGCATAAGCAGATGGCAAACTCAAATGCCCACAAAGGTCCAGTAGTGACTGAACTGGCTGGGTGGGGACTGTGGCCAGTGGGTGAGCTTGTGCCCGTTTCAAAGGGGGGCAGCTAACACTCTGCTCCTGCCAGTTGTCATCTTGTAGGAATGGGGGCCCAGGGCTGCCAGGTCTCCTTTCAAGAGAAACTGGAAATCTGATTTTTATTTTAATGTTATTTATCTATTTATTTATTTTTAAAGATTTTATTTTTAAGTAATCTCTACAGCTAATGTGGGGCTCGAACTCACAACCCCGAGATCAAGAGTCATGTGCTTCACCAGCTGAGCCAGCCAGGTGGTCCTGGAAACAGATTTTTTTTTTTAAAGATTTTACTTATTTATTTGAGAGAGCGAGTGAACACAAGCAGGGGGAGCAGCAGAGGGAGAGAGAGAAGCAGGCTTCCCACTGAGCAGGGAGCCCGATGCAGGGCTCAATCCCAGGACCCTGGGATCATGACCGGAGCTGAAAGCAGACGTTCAACAGACGGAGCCACCCAGGTGCCCCTGGAAATCTGATTTTTAAAGACAACTCTTCCTGGGGTTTTCTGCAGCTGTATAATATTCCATGACTTGGAAAATACCACTGCTTACTTACACATTCTCCTGTTGAGGGAGCTGAGGTGGTTTCAGTTGGCTCTTTGATTTTCATTTTTTTTCCTATTATAACAATATCTCAGTGAACATTTTTATGTATGTCTTCTGGTGAACAATTGTGAGAGTTTCTTTAGGGTAGTATGCCTAGACACGGAATTGCTTGTGATGTTTCAAATTTAAGCAACACTTTGCAGGCCAAACAGAGACACTTCTGGGGGCCAGATTTAGCCCTTGGGCCACCAGTTTTCAACCTGTGTGTATGGAGGGCAGAGCCCTCATGGTTAGGTCTTGGTTCAACTGTCATAGAGTTGGAGCTGAAGTCTTTGTCCCAGTACTTGGTAATTCACCCTGGGTCCCCAGAGTCAACACACACTTGCCTTTTAATTGACGAGTAGTACTGATCGATGAACTCTTTGGCGAGAGGGAAGAGCTGTTCTTTTGTGCGGACATCTTCAGGCCTTCGTATTTGCTGAGAAGGGAGCATAATGGAGCCCATACAGATGTGCTCGGTGCATCCTGTTTCCTGGAGGGAAAAGAGAGAGTTGGATGATCACTTGGTTTTAGCACAAGTGGGGCTGTGGACCTGGATCTGACATTTGTTGTAGAGTTTACCTGGCCTTTAATTCCCAAACAGGATTTCTCAAGTACCAGCTTCAAATCATTGGATAATTTGACCATCATAGGATGGTGGTCATCAATCAAGGTAAGGATCGACAGGCAGTATTTTCAGGTTCTGAAAGTGTTTGCTCTACTCAACTAGGGGAAGAGGGCCTTTCTGACTGGCATTCGCTGGGAATTAGACTCATTGGTACTGAATCCCCAAATAATTTTTTTGATCCCATGTTGATCTAGAAGGAACTTGTAGGTGGTTGTAGTAGCTCATTCGAACACATCTCTGGGACATTGACTGCAAAAAAAATAGCCCCAATTCTTCTCTGCCCTATATTCACACCCTTTGCAATGTGACAGCTGACCCCTCAGATGACTGCAGATGCTTGAGATCAACAGACCAGCAGAACCACTGAGCCAATCTGTGGACTTTTGAAAAATAATAAATGGTTGTTGTTTTTAAGCCACTGAGTTTCAGAGATATTTGTTACACAGCAATACCTAACCAATACAATGTTCTTCCAAGAGGCTCACTTTCAACAAAATGTAAAGCAACATGTTGATTGGCTGGCTATTAAAAATATGACATAAAAGTTGGGCGCCTGGGTGGCTCAGTTGGTTAAGCGACTGCCTTCGGCTCAGGTCATGATCCTGGAGTCCCGGGATCGAGTCCCACATTGGGCTCCCTGCTCAGCGGGGAGTCTGCTTCTCCCTCTGACCCTCTTCCCTCTCGTGCTCTCTATCTCTCATTCTCTCTCAAATAAATAAATAAAATCTTTTAAAAAAATAAAAATAAAAATATGACATAAAAGTTTAGCTGAGATACAGTGAAAGCAAGGAAGGGCTTGTTCAATACTTCATCAGTGCTCTGGTTGCGAGAGACAGAGAAAATGTGTTCAGAACCAGCAACTCCTCCACTTTTGGGTTCTTTTGGGTTCAAGGTACACAAATAAAAAGTATTCCCAAGAGTGAATAAGTAGCCACCAGCAGTTCTCAAATGGAAGTGGATTTCCCACCCAGGGGACACTGAGTGATATCTGGAGACATTTTTGGTTGTCACAATTTCAGGGGGGTGACAGATATCTCGTGGGTATAGGCCAGGAGTGATGCTAAACACCACACAGCGCACAGGGCAGTCCCCACAACAAAGACTTAGCCAACACCAAACATGGTTAGTGTGAGGTTGGTCTACATCCTGCTGGGATACTCACCAGGGTGCTCTTAAGGTGAAGGGTGTCAGTGAGGACCACGTCGGTCTCCCAGTTCTTGACCTTGAGGAAGCGGGGGCACTTGGAGGGGCTGCCATTCTTTGTGGGAGACTGTTTTCCCGAGGCAGGGGGCTGGAGGAGAGAAGGAAGGATGGGACATTAGACAGGGTCCTGAGGACACTGGAAAACTGCCTCCACTGGGGTGGGGAGCAAAGTTGCTTTTCCTAGAATCTGCCAGAGTCACCAAGTATCTGCACAGAGTGAAGGACTCATTCTCCCAGGGTAACACATGCTAACCAGGGAACCTGGTGCCTCTGCCTATGCTGAAGGAGACACCGTGGAAAAGCCTTTTGTGTTCTGTTCTGCAGGGAGGGGCCTCTCAAAGGTGGCCTCTCTGGTGTCTAGCAAAGGTCCTAGCATAGAGCAGGGATTCACTGAATGTCTGTTGAGTGAGTAAATAACCAAGGGACGCTGTCAGCCTCTCTGAATGGTACCAGCTTTCAGGCCTGTGGATGTCTGGGCTTTCCTGTTACAGTCCAAACTCACTACTTCTGGTGAGTACTGGGAAAACAGGAAAGATCCAATTAGAAAGTTCTGAAGCATAGAATATTTCTCCCAAATGTCAGGTTTCTGCCTCTCAAAAATGCCAAGTGTATCCCTGCCTCAGGGCCTTTGCACTGACTCGTCCCTCTGCACTGAACACCTTCAGTCCCCCATTTTCTTCACTTCCATACACAAAATGCCCAGTCGGTGGTGGGGGAGAAGTCCTGGGCTCACCAACATTGGCCCATCCATTTTAGACCTCATTAATAAGGATTACATTCTGTCTTGGGTGTTTCTGAATAATTGTCTACCTGCCTATGCATCAGAAAAGCATGGGTGTCAGTCAGCAACTGGAAGGGAGAGGCAGCGGGCACACTCTGCCACGTCAGCTGAGTGAGAGAGGGAAGACAAGCCAGTGTGGAGTGACACTCATGCCAAGAAGGGAGCACTGGATAGTGACCTTGCGGCAGGGCATTCACACACTCAACTGGTATTTATTGAACACCTACTGTGTGCTAGACACTGTTAGACACTGGGGGCACTGTAGTGAACAAGACAGAGAGTGACCTGGCCCTTCTGGGACACTGCTGGGAGAGAAGTGGAGATAAATCATAAGTAAACCCACACATGAACCACTAGAATATCAGTTGGTGATAAGGATATATGATGATGAGGGGGGGGAAAAGGCAAGTGCAAAGGCCCTGAGGTAGGGATAAGCTTGTTAAGTTCAAAGGACCAGCAAGGAGGCCAGTGTGGTTGGAGTGGAAGGGTGTGGTTAGTGTAAGGAGATGAAGTCAGACAGGAGGAAGGGTCCTCATCTCGTTGGCTTGGAGGAAATCAGGTGGGTGAGGAAGATGTGAAGTACAGTGAAGTGGGCTGAGTCCGGGAAAGAAATCATAGAGTATGCCGAAGGGCTAATATTGTAAACCGGCATTCAAGAAGCACTTACGATATGTGAAGCAAAATCTTATCATGCCCATTTTACAGATGAGGAAACTGAGGCACAGAAAGGTTAACTAAGTTGTCCAAGGTCACAGAGTTAGTACACTGGAGCCAGGAGTCAAATCCTGGCAGTCTGCCCTTCACACCGTGTCCTTAACTACTGGACTCTCCTGCCTCTTGGCCATTATGTATAATTCATTCATTCATTCATTCAACATGTGTTTACTGAGTATCTCCTATGTTCCAAGCAAGGTTGCAAGGGCCAGGCTACAGTGACAAACTAGATAGATGTGATTTCTGCCCTCATGGAGTTCACAGTGCATTGTGGGAGTGAGGGGAGGGATGACAGGTGAATGATCATTAAAATCAAGGGCAATGGGTGCTATAACATGGGATGTTGGCGGTGTATAAGGAACTGTGGAAGCACATAGAAGAGGCACCTAACCCAGAGCATTTGACTTCTAATTGAGACCTGAAGGACAAGTGGGTGTTAATCAGGCAAAGAGAGAAGAGCAAGGTCTTGCAGGCAGAAAGACCAGCTTATGCAAAGGTCTTGAGGTGAGAGGCATACCATAGCTTCCAGAACCATGCAAGTGACAGCAGAGAACAAATGGAAGGTGCCGTGACTCATGATCTTCCATACCTCCCTGCTGTGGCCAGATCCAGTCATCCCCAGTGGTCCCCATCTCAGTGCTGGGCATCACCATCCATCTGCCTGGGCAAGCCATTGGGGGGGGTGGGGAGCTATCCTGGACATCATTCTCTTTATCCCCCTGCACCTGATCCGTCCCCAAGTCCCACCATTTTAGCTTCTAAAGAGCTCTAGAATCCACCCCCTATTCGTTCTCCCCATTTAACTGACCAGCACGCCGGCCAGACCAACATCATCTTTCAGTTGCATGAATGCAATCACCTCCTAAATCCTACCCATCGCTTACTGCTACTGGTGTTATAATCCACACCAGCAGGTTTCAGTACTATAATCTACATAATCATCTATGGTACACCTGTTAGTCCTATTGGTACTGCCATTGTCACAAGTATTACTACAGTCCGTCCACACCAGGAGCAGAAGGATGTAGAAGAATTCTTCCCTTCTTTCCCATTTGTACTTTCTGCCTGCTAAGCTCCAAGTTATTTTCCTTCTGTCCCCTCGTGAAGCCACATCCCAGACAGCTCCATTTCCTTTGAAGGCCTGGCCAGACAGCCCCAACGCTTCTTTAAGATCTGTCTTCACTACAGTCTCTTCTGGCAGACATGCAGGGGAGGGGAAGCGATCTTTGGGCAAGACTTGGTAGCGACAAATTCCTCCGACCATGCCAACAGCCTGAAGCCATGAGAACCAAAAAATCTGACCTTGCCCAGGTGGGAGGCACCCCAGCGATCCTCCCTAAACACGGAGCATCACTCAGCCAGTTTGCAAACTCTCTTGACCATCCACATGGATGCCCTAGAGGCTGGGGAGAGGCTGGAATCCCAGACGTGAGGTAACAGACACAGTGGGGAGCACCGTGAGGCAGGAGGAGGAGGTGTGGGGTGCGGCTGGTGGGTGGGCAACCAGCAGCCTTCGTTGGCAGGGTGTGGTGGGAGTGAGTTAATAAGCATAATGAAAGAGGCCATCTTTTGAGGTTCCAGATGTGTGATGGGTGGTCATTACGAGCCAAGAAATTGGGGGCCCGGGCGTGAGCCGTGCCTCTCCACCCTGGGCTGTGTTGAACTGCACACTTGAAACCGGGCATGAGGAGGCCCCTGGCAGGGCTGTTGTACTTGGGGCTCTGATGTTTTAATTAGCCAGCAGTAATATTAGATGACTCAGGAGGGGACAAATGGGGAGATTAATAGAGCAGTCAGGGGCCCTGCATGGGGGACGCAAATGATTTTTCTGAGTGGGGATGGAAACGTTCTCGCTAAAAATGCAGATTAGGGGCACTTGTGAGTTATTAAGCTGGGGACAGGGCACAAGTGGGCTTTGGGCAGCGTTTACATGCGTCCTTTTCTGGATTTGTGTCTGGGGTGGTCAGTAGAGCTTTTCAGGTGGCGGGAGACACCAGCTCGATCTTGGTGGGCTCTGTGCGAGGGCTGCCTGGGATTGCTCCCAAATGGGGAAGGGAGGCTCTGAACTTGTGGGCATTTCAAAGGCTCTGCAACACCTCTTTGCTTCTGGAGCCGGCAGGGTTCCTGAAGAAATGGAAGGCAATGGTCTTGCAGCCAGAGAGGAGCTAGAGAGGCAAGGCCCTATCAGCGCAGAGCCCTGAGCCCAGAATTCAGCTTTGTAGGTACCCTGACACCCTGTTTCCTTCTGCACTCTCCACCCCTCCCTCTTCTTTCCCCTTCAACAAATACCTATTGAGCACCTACTGTGTGCCCGGGACGCGTGTTCTTGGCCCTACAGTGGTTCCCACTCTCATCCCACAGCTGGGGGAAGCCTCGTACACCTGCATGCAGGGATCTGCAAACGGCAGCCCGTGGGCCAAACCTTGTCTGCTGCCTTGTTTTTATACAGCCCACAAGTTAAGAATGATTTTTCCATTCTTAGCCCGTTGAATAAAAATACCAAAAGAAGAGTAATGTTGCATGACACAAGTTATAGGAAGTTCAAATTTCAGTGTCCATAAATAAAGTTTTATTGGCACATGGCCACACTCATTTTTTTTTTTAAGATTTTATTTATTTATTTGAGAGAGAGAGTGAGAGACAGAGAGATCATGAACAGGGAGGAGGGGTAGATGGAGAAGCAGACTCCCCGCTGAGCAGGGAGCCCGATGCGGGACTCAATCCCAGGACCCTGGGATCATGACCTGAGCTGAAGGCAGATGCTTCACTGACTGAGCCACCCAGGCGCCGCGCCCACGCTTTACTCTTCTTCAAGGCACTTTTCACTGCCTGCAATTTGCGAGTGTATATGTATCTGCATGTATATATATCTATGTCTCTGTGTCTTATAGATCTGTATATATATATATATATAATGTCTACAGATATTTAGGTACAGATATGTCCAGCCCCTAGACGAGTGTCCAGCATATAGTACACACTCAACAAACACCTGAGGTTTGCCACAGACTGAACTGTGTCCCTCCTGAATTCATATGTTAAAGCCCTAACTTACTGGAGACAGGACCTCAGGAAGTAATTAACATTAAAAGAGGCCATAAGAGGGGCGCCTGGGTGGCTCAGTCGGTGAAGCCTCTGCCTCCGGCTCAGGTCCTGATCCCAGGGTCCTGGGATCGAGTCCCGCATCGGGCTCCCTGCTCAGCGGGAAGTCGGCTTCTCTCTCTCCCTCTGCTCCTCCCCTCCCTTGTGCTCTCTCTCTCACTCATTCTTTCTCTTAAACAAGCAAATCTTTAAAAAAAAAAAAAAGAGGCCATAAGAGTAGAACTTAATCTGATAGGATTGGTGGCCGTATAAGAAGAAGCAGAGAAACCTCTGTCTGTCTTTCTCTTCCTCCACGCATACACAGAAAGGCAGAGGAAGGACACAGTGAAGGTGGCCGTCTCGGAGCCAGGAAGGAAGCCCTCGCCCGATGTGACTGTGCTGGCACCCTGACCTTGGTCTGCTAGCCTCCAGAACTATGAGAAGAAACTTTCTATGTCTAAGCCACCCAGCCTGTGGTATTTTGTGATGGCAACCCAAGCCGACGAACACAG